CTTAGCTCCTCGTGTTTTACAGGTAATTAACAACTAAACAAATCTTGATCTTCCTCACTTGTGTTGCATATGCAAGAGAGTAATCTAATGGCTTGCGTGGTTGTCTTTAAAACAGTGGCTAGTTGGTACATACAATACCCAGATACTTTTGATGGTGTTTCTTGGCCTTATCGCTCTCCTCCTTGCTGGCTTCTTCGCTTACCACCTCAATCTCTGCTTAACCAACACAACAACTAATGAGGTAAACACTGTTACCGTCCTCTAGACATTATCATAATTTGGCTCAGAGTCATCGCTGTGATCTTTTCCTTAACGGTTGGTGTTTGTTTGTTGACAGAAATTCAAGTGGAGAGAGTACATAAATTTGCAGAAGAAGATAAGCGAAGCAAAGGCAAGTGCTGCTGCTCTCAAGGCAGGCATGACCAACACCGAGCTGGACCGTCCAGCAAAGAGCGAATGGAGTGGACTTTGGAGAAGATCTGAGGCCAAAGCCGAGGCCCTCATCGCCAACAGGAACATGTATGATAAAGGAAGCTTGCGGAACATTTCGGAGATTGTTTTTCCATTATCTTCAAGACAAGCTTTCCGGAAAACAAATCATAAAACTCAATAGCTTTACTCTTTATGTAGTGAAATAGGGTATCAGTTCAGAACTTTTTACACATATTGAAACATCTGCCTAACTTCAAAGAAAAAAAGGTTTATTGAAACTATTGTTCTTTACCTACAGCCTTATACAGATCTTGGACAACGCTATTAACAAATCTGTCATCTTCCACAGAGTTTCTTATCGTTTTCTCATAGAATAATATCCCCTTCTCTGCTTCACCGCAGTTCATGTATCCCTTTAGGATCGTGCGTCTGCAAGCACTGTCTGGGCTTATACCAGCTTCCGACATCTTGCAGTAGATCCTTTTGGCCTCATCCATCATTCCATCTTTGACAAAAGCAGAGAGCAATGAACTGAAATGGCTTTGAGATAGCGGAATGCCTTTCGCTTGCATGAGAGTTATCATTTTCTCTGCTTCTGCGTACTGTGAACTCTCGGCATAGGCTTGAATCAGGGAGAGGTATGTGGATGAATCACCGGTAAAGTGGCCATTACTCTCCATTGCTTGCAAAAGTTTATCAACCTCTCGATGGAGTCCTCTACTTGCACATATTTTTACCAGCATGTTGTAACTAGTCTGCAAATAATCCCCAGTGTTAACAATAATTATTGTTAGAAATAATGTTAAGCCATTGAATAGACCTTACGAACAGTTAGGCTGAAAAACAGAAAACCTACCGTTCCAGGTTTAATCCCTTTCCTCCGCATTTCACTGAACAACGCAAGTGCTTCACTCATTTTTCCTGAAACAGCATGAGAAACTTTTATTAGTTACTGTTACTAACCAGAATCAAGACCAGACAATGCTACATAGCATTCTATCTTTGCGAGAAGTTGTTAAAATATATTAAACTCGAACCGAAACATTAAGTGTAATTTTCCCTATTAAATACGTACCAGCCTTCCCATAATGCATAATCATATTTGTGTATATTTTCTCGTCCAGATACACTCCCGATTTGCGAGCGTTACTAAAAATCTCAATTGCTTTGTCCAGCTGCAGACCCCGCCCGTACACACTGCACCAAACCACCAAGATGGCTAGAATATTACAGAACAACCAACTTGCACGAGCCTTAAACATAAGGAAGCCGATCTAGTGCCTTTTACCTGATCATAGTGTTGTAGGTCTGAATCGTACAAGGAACACCTGAGTTACGCATCCGCTCATAAATTTCAGATGCACACTGCAGTTTACCTGCGACAACAGAAGGTTTGAGTGTTGGTTCCCTGCACCTTAAACTTCAACTGAAATTAACAAACGTTTCTGTGCTACCTGCTTCTAGCATTGCCTTGATAAGAGTATTATAGCCTACGGTATCGAGCTCCATGTCTTTTTCAAGGCAGGCCCGTGATATTTCTTCTGCTTCTCGGTGTTTCCCTGTGATTAGGATAGTACAATTTTTTAACATCGTGATTAATAGAACTATAGAACGATTATTATAACTAAACACTGCCAGTAGTTGGTTCAAATGTGACAGTTATAGTATATCAATTCACATGCGCTTGGGAAGGAAGACGATGCACTTCTCCATTTGACATACCTCGATTTGTTAGGGCATTCACGAGTATGCTTACGGTAACAGCACCTGGATTACAGCCCTTTTCTGCTGATTCCATAAAGAGTCCATACGCAGCTTCAAGCCAGCCACATCTGACATAGGCATCAATCATTGAGTTGATAATAGATTTCCCCATAGTTTTAGATTCTCCTGCTGCAAGGTAAAGCCGTTTGGCTTCTTTAAGCTTATGCTGCCTCCCGTATACAGCAATCAAAGTCGCAATTGTTTCCTCCTCTATACTGAGTCCCAGTCTAATAATTAAATCGGCAAGAATTTCTGCTTTAGTTATATCACCTGCATAAGAAATGAAAATAATCTTCAACAAGTATATCCATAGCTTGTAAAAAAAAACCCATATCTAAGGAACAAGAAACAAGATAAAATTTTCCTACCTTCTTTCACAAAGCTATTGATGGCTCGATTTACTGCCGCTGAACCAAGATCAGTCTTGAACATTAAATTCAACATTGCTTTAGTCTCATTCAGATTTCCCTCTTTTAGACGCAAATTGAGCAGCATTCCAAGAGCCGTGACATCAAGCCGGCTCACGTTTATAACTGCTTCGTGTTTATCTTGCTTGTGTCTTTCGATATGCATAGCCTCTGTAAGTGTTTGTACAAATCTGTTATCCTTAACTACAGTCTCTCTACCCATTTTCTCTACCAGATCCTGAGCTTCTGCTACCATTCCCTCCTTGCAATACACTCTCAGTGCCGTCTTGTAAAGCTCTATATCAAAGTGCACTTGATCAGCTACTAGCTTCTTGATAAAACTCTTAGCTTTCTCTCCTAAATTGAGCCTGGAATACAAACTGAGCATGTCGTTACAAGAACTGGCATCAGGAAGTCCAGTCTCTGATATGGCTTGAAATGCATCCTCAGCACAGTCTACATTCTGTATCTTAGCATAACACTGTAACATGACAATATAGGCAAATCTAGAAAGGGGAATATCTCTGGTCTTCATCATTTCAATTACATCTAATGCTTTGGCAACATTTCCAGAATTTAAATGAACTTGAGACATTGCCAAATATGTTTTCTCATCAGACAGTATATTCAGGCGTTCAGTCTCTTCAAATAAAGTCTGTGCATCATGGAAAAGTCCAAGCTTCCCATATATTCGGATGATCAATCCCCGGATGACTTCATCAGCTGGAATTCTATTTCTTTCCATGTCTGCAAAGAGAGAAAGCGCTTTCGGGAAATTCTCGGTTTTGTAATACAAACTTAACATAGAAGCGCAAGTGTAGTTACTCGGGACGATTCCTTGAGATCTCATATCCTCGTAAAATCTAACAGCCTGGTCCCAATCACCAGCCTTCACACTTAAGCTAATAACTGAACTGTAAGTTACTTCTTCTGGAACAAAGCCTAAGCTCTTCATCTCACGAAAGGCCTGCAATGCATCCTCGTTGAAACCTTGTTTGGCATATGAGCTCACAACTAATGTATATGTGAACTCAGTCGGTGGCACACCTTCCTCAACCATTTCTAACCATAGATCAATCACTTTCTCATGAAGTGATTTCTTCTGAAGAGACGAGAGCATGAAATTGTACACAGAAGTAGATAGGCTTATTCGCCTTTCTTGAACAGCTTTGTAGAACGTCAACATAGCGTTGTGGCGTCCCCATCTGGCATATGTGCACAACATCGTACCACAGGCTACTGCATCTGGTTCAACTCCCACTTCAAGCATTTCCAAAAAGGTTTCCTCGGCTAGCTTTATCTTCCCGACTTGTCCATACAAACGAAGAACAATCGTGTAGACAACTACACTTGGACGATAGCTTAACTGTTGACACAAAATTCTATCACCAAAACTTCATTAATCTAAATCTAAAAACTCTCAAACCAAGACTCAAGTAAGACAAAAAAAACTTTGCTTTTCGAATCAATCAAACAGCATTTGAACAAGCAAATCCATATGAACATAATCTTCAAAACAAAAGAGGAACCCGAGAGAACCTGCAATTTCATCCAAGCGAAGAAGTCTCTGACTTGTCTCCAATTTCTCTGCTCTTTCAAAACAACGCACATGTCTCTGAAAGTCAGCTTCGCGACGAAGCTACTCATCACGACTCTCATATCAGCACTACCTTCTCTCCTCTGCGACAAGGCTCTCACCGTCTTAACCGCAGCCACCACATGCTTCCCGTACATCTGACCGTTCCGATCATCCTCCAAATACTGAACCATCTGCTCAGGGGTGCGCTTAATCCACTTGGGAGTCATAGCGTGTGAGCCTTGGTTCCTCCTCAACGTGCTTAGGTACTGTGCTTTCTTCTTTATGATTCGCCTCGCGTCGTCGTCCGATAACGGGTGTTTCGGCCTCTCGTATCTTGGCTTCGGTCTCTCCGGGTTCCCATCGCTGAGAGACCACGGGTCGGGTCGAACTCCGGGCGAAGAAGATGACCATATGGATATTCTCGACTTTCTCGAGGGTATTTTGGGAAGAAATATTGAAGGATGGAGATGAGTAGTGGAAGTGAGGAAGTCACTCTTCATGATTTCCGGCCACAACCTCGCCGTATCTTGCCAACTTAGAGTCTGTCTCCTAATTTACACATTAGATTATCCGGTATAATTCGGTTTAATGTGGTTTTGTTTTTGCCGCCAACAATATGTTAGCTAAATTTCCGGTTTATATTCGTCTGGAGTTTGTTTCGGTTGTGTGAAGTGGTATCAGAACCAGTTGTGGAGTGAATGACTCGTTTTGATCTACAATTTTTCTCCTTCTATATTATTTTTGCTCAGTTTTTATTCCTCTGTTCTTCTATATATTTTTTTCCTAAGTAAAAATACGAAATTGACAACACATGCATAACTACTGATATTATTGCTTCAGCCGAGTCTAATTTCCTCAACACTAACATTAAATTCTAACTTAACCTCACAATGAGTTGTATGGCAACTAGACATATATGTTAGATTAACAAAAAGAAAGAGACTCATGGGTTCTTTGTGATGAGATCAAAAACTGCTTTAGAGTCAAGCTCCCAGCATTCCCCATCTCCAGACCGAGTCGCACTTCCCTCGTGTCTGAACGCCGGAATCTGATGCGAGAATCTACTCACTTCCATCTTTGGAATGTCAACAAAACCAACCTTTAACTCTTGACTCCTTCCATAGAAAAGCTTGTTAAACGCTTTAGCAGTCAAAAGCGCCACTTGTATGCTCTGCTCGTCGGTTTCCACTACTTCCACAATCTCAAATTCTTCAGTCTCAGCATTCAAGTTCCTGTACAGAGCCCAAATCTCACCTTTCCCTGGGTATACGTCGAATCTGTTTATATTACTCTTCAAGGCTTTAACCTGATGTGAGAAGCTGCTAGGCACAAGCACTTCTGCTTTACCAGTTTTCAACTTGAAGCGGCCACAGCACACGGGATGTGTCATGAGATTTGGAGGGCGACACAGCTCTAGAGGTGCTACATGTAGCTTCAACTCAGGACTTGTGTCGATTCTCTTGATCTGACCATACTTTCTGGGCATCCCTTTGTCATTGCTATATATAGCCCATATTTGATCAATCCGGAATTTGTCCGCAGATCTCTGGTTCTCGAAGTTAAAAGTGTTTACTTGCCTAGTTGTGCAACTTGATGGTCCATGAGTCTCTGGCTCTGACGATTTTATAGCACCATTCAACCGAGTCGGCAAACCTTTACCTCTGGACTGAGACAACGACTCATCATTTCTCCCACGTTTCTTTGAGTTTCCTGTGGGCTTGTGTAGTTCTCGAGGTGTTTTTCTGATTCTTGAATCAGTCGCAATAATCTTCTCAGGTTTCTTTGGGGTAGCCATCTTCTCATCAGATAAACAAAACCCATCTGGCTGTCCACAGGATTCACCATCATTACCATTCTTCTTCTCAGCTTTTTCTTGGCCTGACCTTGAAGTTGCTTGGTTGTTTGTTTCACTCAAACGACGAGGAGATTTTCGCAGTTTCAAGTCATCCACTGCTTTGACACTCTTTCTGGACTTCTTCACTGAGTTCAATACATGATTGGTGCTCATTCCATCAGCTGCTTTGGATGATGAACTGTGATTTTCATGAATTTTGTGACATTTCTTTGGAGATAGACTGCTCTCTAGCGTAGTTTTTGCATGCACTTCGACCTTGGAAGCCTCAGAAAAAAGACCACCAGTTTTACCATTCCGCCTTCCTCTATCTAACCCAGCATCAACTTTAGAATTATCAAACTCGAACATATCTTTAGGTAAAGCAGCAGTGTCTAATTCGAAGCACCCAGGAGGAACACCTTCTCTCTCCTTTCCAGTCATTTTGAATGACGGAACTTTATGAGAAAATCTAAGCATCTCACTAGGTGGAATTTGAAGTTGGAGAACTTCACACTTCGCATCTCGGCGAAATAGGGAAACAAACCCTTCCACTTTTCCCAGATAGGCCACTCCAAGACCAATCACGTCATTAAAATCAGACAAAACTTCAACAAAGTCATATTCATAAGTTCGTTTATGATTTTCCGAGCTATCACTCCAACTAATATCCCAGCCTCTGAAAACTGCCCAAATTTCTCCTTTTCTTGGATAAATAACTATGTTCTTGTCACGAGGTATGTGACGCATCTGACAAGAAAATATCAAAGGATCGTCTACTTCCTGTGACTCCCCATCTTGGAAGATTCCACAAGCAATGGGAATGGAGTTCTCTTTATTATCCTGTAAGGGGTCGATCCACGTAATCCACAGTTTGAACTCAGAAGCGAGCACTTTTTCTATTCGAGCATATAACCGAGGCATACCATCAGTCAAATCATACAGAGACCACACCTGGTTGACAGCAAAACAGCTTTTTGTCGGTTCAAAGTTGTTGAAGTCTGGATCAGGTGAATCCTGCGTAATAGGCTTATCATTAGCTTTATGGTTATTGTCAATTTTTCCTGCCATACCCATCCCTTCTCCACGTGCGTCAGATCCTTGACTCTTTTTGTCTTTGGTTGCCGAGATTTCTTGATATCCAGAATCCACATTTTTCTTAACTTTTCCATTATAGACACGTGAAGAGGCGGAAGAACCACCAGAACCAAGACGTATCTTTGATCCAACACCCCAATTTTGATTTTTCCTAGTTCGCTCAGATTTTGAGCCAACACTTGATCTTGACCTTTTTGTTGGAGGGCTTATAGAATCACTGCTTCCCTTGTCTGCACAAGAAGCCTGCCGACTTTTCCTATGAGATGTCCTCCTATTATTATCTTTTGAATCAACATAAGTACTCTCACTATGATCGTCAACAACTTTTCGCTTCCTTTTTTTGTCCATGCTCGTAGAGGGTGCTTGATCACACCTTGAAACTGATTCATCCGGTACAGATTTTGATGCATCTGTTTCTGATTTTGTAACTTCAGGTTGTACTTTCAAACCATCAGCTTTGGGTGGCTCAGCAGTACTCTTCTTGTTGAATTTCTCTTTAAAAGTACCTTTTTTATCCATCTCAGCTGCTACATTTCCAGTCTGAGCACCACTAGAATCCACATTTTTATTCACAAATGTGTTACAAGCCCCTTGATTTCGAACTTCTTTTTGACCAGTGCTTGATTTAGGCGGTACTCCATTAAATCCAGTGTTGTAGGCCATGAAGGATCTTTGACAACTGGAACAGAACATATTCGTGTTCACATATTGTCTCAAGTATCTATGCTTACAGCCACAGTGCTCACAACATGTCCAGAATATAGCTTTGTTAACGTCACCGGCATTGTTTGCATCTGCACACTGTTGGCTAGAAACCCGTGAATAGATTCTGCGCTTGATATCATACTGAGTCCGTTTTTCCTTGTCAGCGAGGAATCTGTTTGCTTCCCCAATCAACTTGAAAGCAGCCTCTGCACCGGGGAACTGGTTTTTGTCGGGATGGAGAAGCAAAGCGAGCTTCTTGTACTGCTTCTTGATTGTAGCATCGTCAGAAAAATGCATAACTTGAAGAATACCATACCAGTTCTCAAGATCGTTGATTTTGTTGTCGGCAGAACAATGGACATCACATACGGCTAACATTTGTGGTAGGCTGTCAAGACCTGAGAAGAGACTCTGAGCCTTCATTACAAGCTTCTGAGCCCTGGCAAAATGACCTTTCCGCATCATATTCTCTGCCAATGCTTTTGCCCTAGAGGCCTCATCCTTGTTACAGTCCATTTTCAGCGAAGAAGCCTCTTTGAATCAGCTGAAGTTCAAAGATCAGACGAAGGGAAGAAAGATCTCATTCCTGCAAACACAAAGTCCATTGCAGATCCATTATTAGTATATCAACTCCTAATCCTGATTTGTCATCCCAAAAATAGCGACTGTAAGAAACAAAACTCAGCTTACCATTACAAGAGACAAAAATTGCAAAATCTTTAAACAATGTACTTCATCCTTGATTAGATAAAACAAGAATTGCGAGATCTTCATACAACGCCTTGAACTTGAAAGCAGTCTAATAGTTCAACAGTATAGAACTGCAAACCAAAAGAAAAAATCATAAGTCATGTCTAGTTTGATTGCAATTCTGAGATCTTAAAATCAAAGTTATGATTTTTTTTTTTTTTGAAACAGAACAAGTCAGTATAACCGAGGAAAAAGAGAGAAGATATTAATACAATGTTAAGCAGTAATCACCAGATACATCCTAATTGATCGAAAAAAACTGTACAGAACAAATAAGAGAACAAAGATCAGAGAGCTCCAAATCTTTATCGGAGGCGAAATTGAAAACAAAAACCTTTTCAATCGGCAGAAAAGTAGGATAATGACACAAAACAACAACAACTGGAAAACGATAATTTCCAATGCAAATGCAAAAGTAAACCCTAGACGACGGATTAAAAAAAAAAAAAAAAAAAAAACCACAAGTGAACATACCCAGAAGCTTGAAGCCCGAAAGCCACTAGTTCAGGAGAAGATTAGAGAGAGAATAAAATACTAAATAAACCCTAATTTCCGAGTGAAGGGGAAAAAAATCTAAAAATATGAACTGAAAACCGGATAGTTTCAAGGCGTGTGTCTTTTCCATAATATGGTATATACACGTGTCTTTACATTTTACTTTTTTTTCTTACATCTTATTAAATTTTTATATACCATTTCAACGATTATATATTTATATACTTATAAAATAATCCAATTTTGTTTGTTTGATTGTCAACCAAATTATCTGAACTTTTATACTTTTAGGAAACAATAAAATTTGACTATAATGTTATAATTGACATCTTCTCTGAGTATAGAAGATGCGGAATCAAATATAGCAATTCTGCAAAATCCAAAACAAAAAACAAAAAAAAAACCAGAAGCTACAATCTTCCAACAACTCTGAAAATGTAAGCAACACCTATTACTGATTTCTGTTATAAGGATCGAAATGTTGATAGAATTGGCAAAATCTGGGTCTCTCTGGTTGTGTCCAATGGTTATAATTGTAGTCCAAGTTAGGATTTTCGATCAATCCTCTATCGTAATGATCCACGGGCCAAGTCAGTCTTTGATTCAGGGAATAACCATGCACGGGAAAGTGATTCCTTGGGTCTGAAGCAACGTGTACTGAGCTCTGTTTGCTTCCCGAAAGGCTGCGTTTTTGTCCTCTCTTCTGCTTTTTCTTCGAGCCCGGTTTGCTCACGGAGGAGGAAGCAGCTGCCGTTGAAGTTTCCAAAGGTGTGTTGCTGGTGACAGAACCAACCTCTGCTAAATTTGGTGCTTCTTCTGCCGCTTGGGATTGTTTGATTGTCAAATCAGGTTTTGTTCCAGATCCAGATCCATCAGATGGGTTTCTTCTAAGCTTCAAAAGCGACTTGATTTGTTCCTCGAGGTTCCCGAGTTGGAACTCTGATTCGAGTTTGTGACGCGATATGCATTTAATGGCGGCTCTTAGTGATCTGATCTGCCTGTCAATGGCCGCAACCTGTAAAGTCTGCTTTGTGTTACAACAAACTCTGTTTGAGTACTCTTGTTATAAGAAGTTCAGAACAAAGAACGGGCGGGAATTTTTACCTGCGGTGCAGATTCGTTCTTAGCATCTCTAAACGACTTCTCTGCAGATTCCTTTGTAATCCTCAAGGAATCATTTATAATGGCGGAAACAGGATGGAATCTACGGACCATACCAAATGAGTAAATGTAGTCGATTGCCTTGAGACGATGCCCAGTTTTTATGAGATTTTGAATGAAACCTGTGAAAAAATATAAAGCCATATGAACAAACCTGTCTTAAGTGAAAATGACAGAGCTTTAACCGTCTGTGATTCAAAAAAAACAAGTTCATAATGTTCAGACATTTTTCATAGAAGGCATCTCGGTGAACCGTCTGTGATTCAAAAAAATATCCAGGCTTGGAGATTTACAAAAGCGGCAAATAAGAAAAAGGGAATCACCTGGAATGGCGTTGTCCAACCCGAGAAACTGGCAAAGATCAGGAGACACAGTTTGCCAATAAGAATTGTCCAGTAGGCTTAGAAGGTCATTAGCCTTGAAATCTGCCACTATTCCGAAGATACCTAGAAACTTTAGGAAACAAACGACTTCCAATTCATCCTTCTTACTCTTTGAGATCTTATCTTTCCAGTAAACCGCAAGTTTCTTTGCATCGCCTTTCACAGGATGTCCAATTTTAGCCTGGTTCTTCTTCAGCTGATCCAACAATAAGGAGCAGCTAGCTGAAGTAACCAGCAGCTTGAACTCATAGCCCTCTTGGGGGTTTTTGGGACACAGAGCCATGGATGTGTCTAGAACTAGCTTTGCTGGATCTGGTGTGCATTTAATAGCATTGGAGAGGTCACTCTCCACTAAGGGTTGCTTTTCTACTAGCTCCCTCAACATTTCCCCGTTAATGGAACCAGGGAGAATGTTTGGCTTAGTTTCGGTGCTTGATGCATAATTTGCTTTGGTAGCTTCTTGCTGATGGTTTACTCCTGACTCCTCAATCTTATCCCCAGATGGAACAGAGACAACTCTGGGCCGATTTACTGGATGTTTCAAAGGCATAAAAAAAAAATTACGGCTAATCACTTATCTTAAACACAAGAACAGAGTTCTGATGTCTCAAATTTCTCCCAAAGATTAAAAAATGGAAAGGAAGTCACAGGGGTATGTTTTCTGAGCATTTCATAAAGCAAACCAAAAGCCACAGCAATCAGAAACTTATATAAAGTGTTACATGACGCAAATCAATGAAACCGAATGACATAGATATGTAGGGTCTGGCTGCTAATTTACGAGCAAGGTTATGAATCAACATACCTGTTGAATTCTGAACATGAGTTCTTGGTTCAGTTAATTTTTGACGCTTGGCTTCACTCTTCTGTTGATACGGAACAAAAGAATCAGCTTTAGATTTCTCTACAGCGTTGGTTGTGCTTCGTCTTTTTTCATAACTTTTATGAACTTGTTCGACTGCTCTCGGGGCTGGTTCATCGTTTTTCAGTACATTTAGCTGTTTGAGAATTTTAGCAGGAAACATAGACTCGGTTTTCTTCTCTCTGATACACTCAAGGGCCATGACTGCATCAGCTTTTCTCTTCTCCCTCCTCGCTTTCTACAACAAGTCAACAAGCTTAGTCACGTTACATCATAAGCCAGATTGAATAGAACTAGAGAGAGAGAGGTTAGCTTACCTGCGCCTCCACTGAGTTTCCATCCCCAGCAATTACTCGGGCAGCTTTTTCTGAGGAATCCAAATACTCAAGCAAAAGGTCTCCTGGTCGTCCTCTTGGACAAAGCTTGTATGAACGGAACTCACAGATGAATTTGAGAGTTGCGAGGTACTCTTCCTTTTTCCTTAGAGTTTCAACCGCACCTATAGAGCAATTCACATGAAGTTTCAGATTTTGGGCAACAACTATTATAAATCAGTCTAAAAACAAGAAGCGGGCATTACCGGAAACCTTATCTTCTAATCCCAGAAGCCGAAACAGTTTCGGGGCCTGATCATACAAAAGGAAGCGCTCTAAAAGGGTTAAGAGCACCTCACGAGTAGTCACAGAGGCCAAATCGTAAGCAGCCAGAAATAACAAGCAACCTAACACCAGCGCTTTACTGTTGGGGTTGGTTTTTGCCTTGCCTATCCAGTCAATCCCCAGTTGAGTCGCTTCCTCTTTAACATTCCGTGTGATATGTAGATTCATCTGTATCAGTTTCTCTAACATAACGATGCAACTATTAACAACACTATCAAGTCTATCATCAGCTTCTCCAAAATCTTTATTCAAGTATTCCTTCAAAGACCCTTCTATAGCCTCAAAGACAAGCTTTGCCGGGTCTAAATAAGGAATCATTCTTGCAAAGGCCAAGTTTTTCATAACCAAATCATCCGCAAAATCTGTCGCATTTTCATTCAGGTAAAAAGTCGAACAGTTCGTAGGCATTGTAACACTTGAGCCTATGTTTTTAGCCAACAATGAAACTAGTGGCTCAAATTCAAGTCTCAACGTTTCTCCGGCGCTAATCCGTTCTTTCTGTTGCTGTACTTGTTTCACCTTCAATTCAAGCTCATTTGCTCTAGCCTCGAGTTCCTTCAACTTCTCATCAGAAAATTTCTCCATAGATTCGATTCTCTCCGTAAATCTCTCCAACTGTTCAACTTCTCCGCTTCTTTTCTGGGTCGCTGCCTTCTGTTCCATATGGAACTCCTTCTCCTTCTTCTCCAAATCGCTTAGTTTCGCTTCGTACGACCCACGAATCGAGCTAAGCTCCTTCTCCTTCGTCTCCAGTTCCAAAGCTTGGCCCTTTATCGATTCCTCGAGTGCTTGAAGCTCCTTCGCTCGCTCCTGGAGAACGTTTTTGGTGGAATCGAAGTACGCCTCGATCTCCTTCCATTGAACCGTAAGCAGGAGTAGCGAATGAGCACCTTCTTGTAGAGAATCTAGGGTTCGTCGGAAGTTCTGCTTGCTTAGATCAACGAGCTCTAGGCCACTCGTTGCCTTCTCCATCAAGCTACCCATTAACTAACTAACGCACAAGAACCCTTAGTAGACCCCCAAAAAATTTCAAATTTTTTTAGAAAAGGAACGAACTTGATGAATGATTTTCTGTTCTCTCTTGCCGTCTGAATATCGAGAATGATCCCGAAAAACCGAAAGAAAATTTCGTCTAAGTAAAAACCCTCATCGCCTCGCCAGAAAAAAAAAGTTAACATATATATATTTTTTTTTTGTAACCAACATAGAATCATTTTAATTGATTGTACCAACTGTCCTCCAATATTGTAGTTATCATTACCAGGTTAAAAATTTATTATTACCAAACATGCATGTCATACGAAGATGATATTGCTTAGAGAAATTTGCATAAGTCTTGAAACTTTACATCGTTCAGATTAGAGAAAAATCAAATAACCCACTGCATATTCTTTACACAAAAACCAGAGATTGAGAAACAGATGGTGCTATTTAGATTCTAGACCAAAAGACAAGACAAACTATTTCTTGTTACTTACTTCCTACTACTTTACCTAAGCTAGCTTGACCCTTGAGACAGAACACTAGAATCTGCCATTGCCTGATTGTGGAAACAAGCAAGGTCTAATCGCCGGTCTAGGACCCACAGGATCCACCCTTGGACGTTTAGAACCAGCGAGGTGTGAAGATTGACCTTGCAACGCAGTTGAACCAGCAGCTTGATATGTTTCCACGTCTAGGACCTGTGGATTTGGTGCCGCACCAAAGCTTGTTGGAAGGCTCGGGTTTGAGCAATTAGTGGCATTATATGAGCTGTGAAAGACTGTGTGTGAATCCTGCATATGAAAACTTGGAAGTATCTGCGGTGATTGAAGTGGGACAGATGATGAGACAACAGATTGTTTCTGATTTTTAATTTCCCGAGGAACCATGAATTTGGTGATAAGATCCACAGGAAGATCAATTTCCAGCTTGAAGTCTTCGATGAGTTCTATTATGTCTCTCAATTTAGCAGCATCTCTGACTTCAGCCTATAAGCCAACATAGATTACAAATTAAACCATCAATGACAACGGAATAACTATACAGTTTGCCAAAGAGATGGATCGGAGCAAGCTTTAACCTGTGATTCAAAGCTTCTCTTTTCCTTGGCAGAGCGTCTAAGATTGATGATCTCTTCCTTCAAGAAGACCAGTGGAGAAAAGTTGTTCTTCAGGTTGAAGAACAAAATAAACCGGATTGCCGGAAAATATAGGGCATTGTTCAGGAGAAGTTTAACAAAATCTGTAGAGATAAAAAAAAAGAAAAGAAAGAGTAAAACATACTTCGTCACAAATGGTAAGAGTAGAAAATGTTTTTAAAAAACAAACGCAAAGATAACAACCAGTTGTACAAGTACAACTTACTTGGGATGGCAGAACTGAGACCAAGAGACTGAAAGAGTTTTGGAGCCTGTTTGAAGTGAGCAACATTCGAGGCAAATTTCAAAGTTTCATCTTGATTGGTTCGTTTCACCAGTCCATACGCCACAATGAATTGCAGAAAAGCCCAAGCCTCGAGGTGTGACTTTTGAGCGCTAGTTCCCATCATAATGCTCCATCTATGTGCCACTTTTGTTGCATCTGACTGTAAATCAGGATCGGGAGAGCTAACAACACGTGGCAGCTCCTCCAATAGGGGAACCAAAGTAGTAAGTATAGGATCTGCTAAACTCAATTCCCCTCTCTGATGAGCACCCGTGAGTGCATCCTCGACAGAAGTTAGAACAAACCTGCCTGGATCTTTTAGCATTGGAAGATTAGTAGAGACTTCATTCGGTGAAAAGAAAGCTGAGCCCTCAAAGTCCCTAAGAGCATCTTCATTAGCCAATGGAGATGATGCTATGTTTTCTTGGACATCCCGGGAGCAAGAATCATTACTATTGCTGATTGGTACTTCAGGGGGCTGCTGTTCAGGCTTATCTTCCAACGATAGTACGTTGTTGACTGGTAAAAAAAATTCAATAAGTATCATAAGACTATAAGAGATCTTGACAGTTATTTCTTAAAGGTCTAAAGCTTCGATATTGTTTTGCTTGTAACAGAACCAGATATCTAGACTATATATGATAATTTTAATGGCAACACACAAAAAACAGGAAAAGTAACTTATGTTACTTGAGACAAAATTGATTTTCAGAGACTTTACTTGAAGAGGAAGAGACAAGAGGGAAAAAGCGAATATTTTTACTGAGAAAACATACCAGGTGCTAGAGCTGATACTCCAAGAGCCTCGCATAGGCTCGGAGCGTATTTGCGAAGAAAGACAACATCAAAAAGGTTCTGGACTTTGTCGGCATCAAAAGTGTATGCCAAACTGAATGCAGCAAGAAAGTGCAGAAAACCCAACACCTCCACAGGATTCTCTGCCTTAACTATAGTTGTGTTCTTCCATTCAGTGGCAAATTTGATAGCTTCTCCTTGTACTTAGTCCTGGGTTTTACTGACATATCCATTAAGCACTCGAGCAAGTAGATGCTACTCCTTCTAACACTATTTGGATCAAGATTTGTTACTGCTGTCCCTTGATGAGCGGAGTAAAGCCCTTGAATTGTCTCTAACACAAGCTTTGCCGGGTCAGAAGATGCTTTCAGAGAACGCGAGATATCAAGGTGAAGCTGAGGACATTTCTTCAGATGCCCACGTAAGATTAACTGTAAAGTTTGGTCGTCAGATACATTAGCATCTTGTACCAACTCATGATCATTAACACATTCCTCCAAATTCTTTTTTGAAGATTTCAGTAGCTGATCTCTTTTATCCATCTTTTCCTCCCGAGAATCAAGCTCCTTCTCTTTCAGCTCAATCTTTTCCTCCAGAGCAGCAAGCTTCTTCTCTTTCAATTCAAGTCCTTGCTCACGTTCCATCAATGATGCTTTTAATCTGACTTGCTTTTCCTCTTTAGATTGGAAGTCTTCCCATCTGTCTTGAATCTTTTTCTTGACAGAATTAAGTTCGATTTCTTTTGCATTGAGCTCAGCAGTAAGTTTAATAATTGAGCTTTGAACCTGATCATGATGTTTTCTCTTAGCTTCCAATTCACCTGAGCATTCCTTGACCGACTGGTTGATTGCACAAACCTCTTCTTGTTTCAACTTGAGTTGTCTGATAAGTTCCTGAACGGAGTTATCCAAATGTTGCATATTCATCTCTTCTTCCTCAACTTGTTTAGTTCTCTGAGTGAGTATTGACTGTAAAGACTTTAACTCATTCTCTTTGATATCCAGGTTTTGTACGTACACTTTATATGTATTCTTCACAGAGCGAAGTTCCTTTTTCTTTGAATCATACTTTGCACTGCATTTTTCTAGACTTCTTTCTGTCGAATCCAGTTTGTCCTCCATTGAATGTTGTTTCTCAGAGAGTTGCTCGACAAAAAGTTTAGCTCTTTCCAATGTCTTCTCTACAGAGTCAATCTCAAAGGATAATTTGCGAATAGCATCCCTCATCTCATCCTGCCTCTTCTCTTTAAGAGCAAGTTCTTCGTTGTGTTCCTCAATCAAGTTGTTGATTGATTCAAAATGTGCATTCCGTTCCTCAATCAGCCTCTGAATGCCCTCTAACTCCTTAGCTTTTGATTCCATCTGTTGGCAAGTCTCCTTCATGTCGTTATTCAGTGATCTGACCATCTCTTCCCTCAAGTCAAGGTCCAGACTCAGTACTACCAGCTCTCTCTCTTTAGAAACAAGTTCCGAGGTCCGTGTCTCAAGCAGCTTCTCACATTCCTTAACATTGTCCTGAACCAATGTTAGATCTTTCCTTTTCTCTTCGATTTCCATGCGAAACCCACCAGTTTTCATCTCTAAATCAGCCATCTCGGCTTCGGCTGCTTCAACCACTTTAGCCCTTTCTTCAAGTGCGAAGCTTTTATCTTGCAACTCCGTCTCCTTCAACGCTAGTTCCCTGAACCTCTTCTCTACTTTCCCTTGGGCGGTTTTCAGATATTCCTGTAAATCTCTCCACTGAAGACTGAAGAAAAGTATATCAGAGGAATGAGACTGAATCTTGTCCAGTTGTATACCGAGATTGTCTATCTTCGCCTCACAGAGCTTTAACTCGCTCTCCACCTTAATCTCCTCCATTGCCTTCAATATCTTCGACTCCAAGGAAGAGTTCCTAAAAAAGGAAAAATCTCACGGAGACGAAAACTTAACTAACTACCCTTTAGCGAAACTCTCCGCCGAATTCCGAACAACAGAAGAAGAAGAAGAAACAAACACGAACGGAGGAAGAGAGAAGAAGATCCAGCAAAAACCCTAAAAGCACCGTCTTTTTTGTTTCAAGTTTCCGTACGAAACCAGAGAAGGACCAACGAAAACAGTAAGAAACACAAAAAAAAAAAAAAAATTAGAATTTTGACCCAAAGAAACGAGTTTTTTACAAGAAATGGGAGAGAATTTATCGCAATCGAAGATAAATGAGGACCCAAAGCGAAGGAAAGAAATGAAGAATCAACGCCAAAAAGAAAGACCCTTTGAAAATTGTACGACGGCGAGAATTAACTGTGTGTGTCTTCTTCCTTCTTTTACAGTTTTGACAGACACGTTCCCATTAATTGATTAATTAATTAATTAATTAATGCCCTTTTCTTAATTAGTAAGGGAAAGTGTACTTAACCAGATAATCTCTGCTTTAAATTCTATCGGTTCGACTTCTCTATTATAAACTGATTTAAAAAATTATCATAATCAAGTAAACCCCCATTAATTATATCGAACCAAAATTTCGGATTTCCTTTTCCGTTTTCTCTTCATATATTTTATTTCGGTTTTTAGCTACCATTTTCCAGTCCGATATTTATGAGTTTTTAAATCAATTATTATTAAACTGAGTAAAAATATGGCTCATTCCGAAAAAGATCTAGGACCTAGACAGTGTTAATAAATTTATGAAAAAAATATATCAATCAAATATAAAATTTATTTGTCTGACATATCATATGGGATAACAATCATGACATGCCGCCTTTCTCCAATGTCAACTCAGTTGATTATATCAATGATGTCCAGTTAAATCACATGCATTAACAAAGCTTTTCCGTGTTTTAATACCCAAAACCATATACATCAACTCCATGAAAAAGCTTGATAATGATTAGTAAATAGAATGTTTGGCGTAAGAATATAAAGCATAAGGTAAATATGTCTAGTTCTTTTCACACGTTTTATTAAAAAATCTATATGAGTTTTGTGTACTATGAATTTAGTTTCCTCACGTTTTACAGATATACAACACATTTATGTCTTACTTAAGCGTATGGTTAAAATGTTCAAATACTAGTAGGCGACATTAGACTCCACAGCTGTCTCCCTCGTCTTCATCAAATTCATGCCTTGAAGAAATTTGTTCAAAATTTTTTAAAAAGACTAAAAGAATTTTAGCTTTTTTAAAATCCATAATAACAAGTCTCATTCTTTGTCGAGTGTTCTATAATATTTTAGACCTAATGATTAATAAAAATATTCAAGATTTATCATAGTGATTTTCCCATTTTAATTTAATTACACTTCTCCTCTAAATTGATGGTGTCTGTCTATCACATATAGTCATATAGTGTCTTAAATAAATTATTAATTAAAGTTATCAAACCATACCACCACTAACGAAAAAACGAAATTTAAAACACTCCCGCGTATGACCACACAGTTTCTCTAGTTTAAATACTTAAAAACAAAAAAAATTAACACATGTAGAAATTTTTGTAAACAACAGTACTGTTTCTAAAACGGATTTCTATTCCAAGTGAATTACAACAAAGCAAGGTTTTTATTAAGAAAAACAACATAAAAACGAGAAAAGATGAAAATACTGTTCTTAGCACTTGGCAGAATATACCAGCCCAATTATTTACATACAAACTGATAAATTCCAAAATACTTGGATGTATTTGACTTCTTTCCGTTTTAAATCAGTGACATGGTTTTTTTTTTTTTGGCTCTCTCTTTTGAATAAATCTTCTGCCACTTTAGTCACATGCATAGGTCAAAGTATTCGAAAACAAAAAAATATTTTTATTCAAAGATAATGTTTTTATATTAAATTTACTATTTGAAGATAAATGGTTTCTAAATCAAATAAAAGATATTTCTAGTTTTTTCGTCGTTTAAAAGATATTTCTAGTTATCATGTGTAAAAACTAGAAAAGCCCATTTAAGTCATTTTTTATAAAATTATTACTATCTGTGTCTAGGATATTTTTTTAAGGAATCTTGTTAAGAAAAGAAAAGGCTAGTTTTCAGGGAATTCCATAACAAGAAAATTCTTTAGTCGGATTCGGAATAGAAGTAAGATATTCTAAATTTGCATATATTGTAGAAAGGAAACACATAGATTAGACCTATAAGCTTAGAGAGAATTATGACATCTCGTCTCGGAAGTCTCAGACTTTACAAGTTTGATGTGCCTTACGACTCCAACGTTGGTGTTTTATTAGTAACTCAAGAAGGCGGAGACACGGGTTATCGATTCCGCTTGACGCGATACACGGGACGGCCACAAAGAGATTCCAAGTCTGGATTGTCACAATCATTTGTAGACTTGCTTGGTCGTTTCTTCTTTATGGACAAGAAAGATTCCAACATAACTAATCAGATCTTGACTTACTTGGTCTCCAACTTCTCTTTCAACGATCTTGAGGTCGTACCTCCTGCTTGTCCCGTCCTAGTTTTTCACTTCCATGTTAGAGAGTTGCATCACAAAGATCCTGCTCCTCAGATTGATATCAAAGAGGCTGTTATGGATGTGTTGAGAATCGAAGACACTATTTTGGATGTAGATGATGTTGGGGATGATAGATTTGTACCAATAGCTCCAACCACTACGGAGATTGTGGATTGTTATAGAGGTCAAGAGTTGTGTTGTCTTTGTGGAAAGGGGTATCCAAAAGAAGAAGAGATTGTTTACAAAACAGTGTGCAATCACATCTTTCACGCTACTTGCATCTCAAGTCACTTGTTGCGTACTCCTCAATGTCCTGTTTGCTCAGCAGATTTGTTGCCTGTCGATATCAGAACCCTCCTCTTTTAGAATCAACTATTTGATATCAAGGCTGTATCCAAGTTTTGATTTCAATGTTTATGTTTTCTGTTTTATGTTTCTATTTGGATATTGACATTCCTTGTTCTGAAGTTCTGCTTTTTAATTCATAGTGAAACAAATATATACAAAACTTCTATTTTTGATGTGAAACGATATTTTTCTGCTTCTATTCCCTTTTATTTCCTTTCATCGATCTTGTTGATGAGAGAAAAGGATTCTTTCTTCATTTTTCGTATTATAAAATATTATTTTCCACCTCAATATGTTATAGTAATTACGTATTAGCCCCAATAACTACCATATATTTACTAATTTCACCCTAATTGTTTGGATTTTGTCAGAAATCAATTTTACATTTCTAAATCCATCAAAGATTGATTGCAAATTTCCAAATCCAGTCTCGCTCCTCTCGAATTTATTAAAGGTTCTATTTTTCTACTCTCAAGCTCTAAGCTTTCTCTCTGTTCCCTGATTCGCATAACCCATTGATGAAATGCGATTTCTCGGGGAAATATCGGAGTCACCTTTTCTGATTTCACGGCTAAACCCTAATTCGACGGCTAAAGGGCATGGAGGCGGCGGGCTTATCGGCGGATGGGTCGATAGGTGTCATGGATTCCTACATAACACGGTTCTCGTTGCGGCTTCTCTCTTCTTTGTCGCTTACTTAGCTTACGAGGCGAAGAAGAGCTTGTCTAAACTCTCGAATCGACGATCTTACATCATGATCGCTTATTATGGGTGTCTTTGGCTCGTTAGCTTGTCAAATCTTGTTTGGTGCTGCCTCCAGGTTTGTTGATTTCGATTCTGTTCTCAAGTAATGAAAGATGAGAACTTTGATTGAATTGAATGAGCTTATTAAGACTATTCTAGGCTCGTTGAAGCTCCATTTAAAAACTGTTTGGTCTTAAGTTGTTCATGGGCAGTGATTGTAGGATGAAATTCTACTACTTAGGGAGGAATACAATAATACATGTAATCATTTGACAGGGTCGTTTTTCTACAGTGGTAATTAGATAGTTATTGGATTGGTGTAAGATGTGTTTGTTAGGAAGATCATAAACTGTTTATGGAAGTCCCCTGAATTGATTATCATGTGTTTCGTGTATCCGGTTTGGTAAATTTTGTATTTTGCATGTTCTAGGGTTGGGAATGCACTCCTGGGAAAGAAGTAGTTTGGAATCTGTTAACTTTGTTTACAACATCTGGAATGTTGTTTCTGGAAGTAAGCTTGGTAGCTTTTCTTTTCCAAGGAAACTATGCAAGCGGTGCAGAAGCGTTAACTAGAACTTTCCTCATCTCGGGGTTTATTATTGGTCTTGATTTGCTTCTCAAGGTATTATCTTGTTCGTGACTACTACATATCTCTACTTTGTCTACTATTATACCTTCTCGAAACACGATTTGAAGAAATCATAAATATGGTGAAACGACTAGTTTAGAGCTGTTATGGCTGAAGTTGGTTCTGCAAAACTTTTTGGCATAAGTTTTAGGCCTTACCATCTCCGTAATCCTTCCGGGTTATTACCCCTTTTCAGGTAATTTATCTCTTTGGGTTTGGTGTGCCGTTGTTTATTGACAACAATGAAAATATACAAAAGTTCAAATGGGGATTATGGGTCATTCACAAGCTCCTACTCACTGGCGTTTATGGGATGATATTCTTGATGTACAACTCTAGGTGGAGAGAAAGATTGCCTGGTAAGTTGATCAGATGCTTCCATCGTCCTTATAGTCGCACTAGCCCATAATAACCTTCACTGGTTTCTTCTATTTCTCACCCTTCAAATCTTCTTGTTTTAACAGCAAGGCCTGCATTTTACAAGTACATAACCATCATGTTCGCCTTATACGGACTTTACCTAGTTGCATCTGCGTTTACTGCAAACGGTGCTCATTTCGGATTCTGGTAACTCTGTCAAAAACCATGCCAGTAGAGAATATTTCTTATGTTCAGCTTTTATCTGCCATTTCACACCATAAGAAAATAATTCAAAAATTAAAACTCAAAATGCTTGCAGGTTGTATGGGATCATGAGTGTCTGCTACCACGCGTTATACCTTCCTCTTCTTTACATTACTTTTCTCGCAGACTTTTTCCAGGTAAAATAATTAATCATTCATCTTCTATCTGTCTCTCTTTGTTAATGCGAATGGTTTTGCTGCAGGAAGAAGATCTGAACTTGGAGAATGTATACTACTCAGAGATGAAGGATGCTGGATTTTTCGATTCTGATTGGGAATAGGACTAGAATAACAAACATCTTCCCGATCTTCTGAGACTGTAATTAGAAGTTGGGTACGATCTCTTAGGACTATAGGTATTGCCGCTTTTTTAAGGCCCTTGTTTATATTTTAGTGTTTAGTCATGTGTTTATGAGACTATGTAGTATGCGTGAGTCTGTACTCTCGAATAAACGTGTAACATCCTTGTCTTTTATAAATGAAAGTTTTTTTGTGACTCTCTGTTCCTCAGATTGATAATCTTAAAGAAAGCTTTTGTAGTAGTCCAAAGATTGACACAACAAAACACTGGGGCAAAAACATACAAGCATGACACATTTGAGAAAAGACAAGAACAAAGGCAAAAGCCTCTGTTTTTTTTTTCTCTCCATCTTCTTTAATTAAGCAGTTTTCTCTTGGACGAGTTCTTCAATGAGTTCAGCAGCCTGTTGGACTGTTGTAATCTCCTTTGCTCTCTCTTCCGCCATTGTTATCTCGAACTCTTCCTCCAAACCCATCACTATCTCAACCTGCAAAAAAAAAAAAAAAAAATCTCTCAGACCAGAACTTGTTCATCAATGGCCATTGAGTTTTGAGATAAAAAAATAAAATATTGGATGGAGCAATTTGGTGGATAGTGGATACCGTGTCGAGAGAATCAGCTCCAAGTTCGGTAAATTTAGTTGCGGCTGTGACTTTTTGATCCTCGGAGAGCGACAATTGCTTCCTAACAATCTCAGACACTTTCTCCACTGTCTCTTGCTTGGCCTTAAAACCACATAAATACACCACATAAGTCTTTGAAACACAAAGCTAAAACAGGCTCAAGAACGCAAAGAAAGATGGAGTTAAAACCACATACTGCACAAGATACTACGAGGCGAGCAGGCATTGAACGTTGTAGGCTGAAGGAAAGATTAGTCTTTCCATTGTTGAAAATCAAAGCCGGTATCTGGAGACTGAATCTTGTTGTTGTAGCCTGTTCATCATGCGTTGGACAAGGACAAAGATTTTTTCATTCAGAGACCAAGAAAGCAATAAGGAAAGTAATTGACAGATATTAAATGCAAGATTGTGTTAGACAAAAGAAATGTTAATGAATTTTCTCTTCATTCAGAGTTTTTACAATTATGAAACGATAATCATAATAATCGTGGCAAATGATCATATTAGTTAAAGTATCGTCAAAGATCAAAGTACCGAGACACGAGCATGCATGGAGATCGAAGAGGTGAAACTTGACGCCATTATTATCGATCTTCACGCCTGATCTGAAGTCTGAACTAGATGGCGGATTGTACAAGGAGCGTGAATTTCAGTGGCACTGGGAGTTATTTATAAGCTGGTCCAAGCATAAACGACACCTTCTTAAGAAAAATCGCTGGTTTCTCTATTTGGGCTCTTGTTGGGCTCGTTAAGGAAACTCGGACATCACGTGTCAGCCCAACTATATACACTCGGAAATCGGAATGTTTTTAATCGAGAGTTGAGAAACAACTGCATTAATTTGAGAAAAAAAAATATGAAACAAGAAAGAAAGTTTTGTTTCTTTGACCAAAAAAAAAAAAAAAAAAAAAGAAAGAAAGTTTTGTTTCTTTATTCCAATCATCCAAAATCAAACCAAACCGTACCAAACCGTACCAATCCGTTCCGGTCGAGTTCGAACCATTAAAAAAATTCAGACACATATAAAACAAATGTAGTATCGTTTTGTTACAACAAAACAAAGATGACATCAATCAAATCCATTCGGGAGTTCATTTCCATGTTTTTGCTTTCTGCTCTCAAAACGTAGGACAACTATCTATCCTCACAAACAATATTACAAGTGGATGGATAATTTACACAAGACGCACAAATTTCAATCACCTTTTTTTCTTTCTACAAAAAGCTTTTCTCCTTCCACATTTTCCTCTCAAGCTTTGCTGAGATCAGGAGGGTCTCTCTCAGTTGGAGAACCAGGGACGAAGGGAACAAAGCCACGACCTCCAAAGACAGGTCGCATGAAGGAGTCATCAAATTGTCTCCAGTAGTAATGCACCGTTCTAGTTGGCCGTGTCAAGAAGCCACGTATACTGTCAGGCCGAGGCACATTGTGGTTCCCTGCGAACTCAATAAACGAGTCTTGGTCCAGCAATGGGATCTGGATTGATTTTGGGGTATTGTTGTCATCAGATAACATGCTCGTGGTGGCTTTCTGGTGCGGTAATAGGTGTCTTATGAGCGGTTTGGTCAGCATACCAAACACCTGAAAACCATTTTCACGAGAATCTATTAGCCAAATACCCAAAACCCAATAAAGGAATCTGTTATGTTAACCTTCGTGAACATCCAGAGATATCTTACCACGGTGCTAAAAAGACAGACGGTTATAGTACTGGTGATCATGATTGCATTCCCGCGTAAATCAGTGTGCCCGGCCCTTGTAAACTGCAATAGAAACAAATGTTAATTGATGATTTGTATCGTTGAAAGCTTCATAGAGAGTAAATAAATACATTCTCTTTATACCTTGTTGTATGCAAGAGCCATTGATACAGCACCTCTCATGAGACCAGCCCACCAAATGACAACCTGGAGGATGGAGAACAAGAGGATAGATATAAACATCTGAGATCCAGAAGAATTATTAAATCCATTACTACCAAGTAGGAACGATTCATACTTGCATCTTAAAGTTGATTTTCTCGCTTTCGTTCTTCTTGGCTAAGTTTGACAGAAATGATAATGGAAAGACGAAGGCTGCTCTTCCAAGCATGAGCAAGCCTATTAGGATTGAGCTCACTGCGACTGATGTTCCCGGGCTGTCACTCACGGATCTCCACTTGTCAATATCCAAGGCATCCATTCCGACATATAAGAAAATAAATGTCTCCGCAAGAAACGACAAAGTTGCAAAGGTATGCCTGTGTCATGAAAAGATGCATAAAATAAGCATGAGAGGTACAAAGTGTGTTGAACTGAGTTAATCTCTAGCAAAAGGTGGCGAAACTGGAGATTTCATACTTTGTAGTTATTCTCGAGCTCTCGGTTACGTTGTGCCAGGTGTAATGGGACATCACAATCCCACAGAAAAACACGGTGAGAATACCACTCAAGTCGAAAAGCTGCAATCCAAACAATATAACATCAATATACTTTGTCTTCGAATGCAATCGAATACATTCGTGTTTTGAAATTCTTCTACGAAAGTGGTATAAGATATCATAAAATCTAACCTCAGCAAGCATATAAGACAGATACGCCATAAGCATCATGAGGGCAACCTCTCGATCAGTTGAGTGTCTGAGACATGCCATGTGGGGACATCTACTTTAGTAGACCAAACAGAAAAAAACTTAGAGTCAAGAGTCACATATATCACGCCGAATATGTACCTTCCAAAATATAGTTTTTTGATGACATAGGCACTTATCAGACCGGTCTGCAAGATGAATAACGAAGATAGATGGTGTGAGCACGAGGGTACGCAAATAGTAGTCACAAGAAAGAATGGCAGACAAAAAAACAATACACTTACTGCAACACCAAGCAATGTGCTCAGAAGAAACAAATACAAGAAGTTTCCAAGAAGATGAAAAGCAGCTTCATGGTTAAGGTGGGTGAGGTCAAAGCTCTGAATTGCGTTGAAGACAACAACCGATGTGGCATCATTCACAACACCCTCTCCGAATACAAGACTGTATAGCAAAGGTGTCTCATCTTGATTCAGAACCTATATCACAACACAAAAGAAACAAGAACTTTTGGTCCACTTTGTTTATGGGTTTGTAAGTACTTCCAGTAAATTGGAGAAAAAAAATTACCTGCAGAGTGCACACAGAATCTGTTGCAGCAAATATAGCACCAATTGCTGAGAATTAAAACACCGGAAAATAACTTAAGTCGCCTGGATTGAAAACCGATAAAGCAAAGCAAACGAAATAAAAAGCCATTGGTTCAGGCATTACCAAGATAATCACCCAAGTCAAAGGTCCCAATATCCAGTTTCTTAAAGAACTGCGTTACACCTGTTTCAATCACCACCAGATTTGAGGTAGATATACAAATTATCTCCACAGGACCTAATCCCTACGAAGACTTCAACAGTACTTCAGCAAACCAAAATGGGAAGTAAGGTACCTAAAGTTATGACAGTGCAAGAGATAACAGTTCCAATAGCACCAAAAAGCATAATAGTCACGAAATTGCGGAAAAATTGCTTCTTTTTTACTTGAAACCTGAAATAGACAACAATAGCAACAAAATTACCGATCTGAGAAATATCTGGAAAGCATGTAGGGAAATATGAAGCTGAAAAGAGTAAATCCATGACAACAACAACGCAGGACCACATAGATGCACGTGGATGAAATCTAACTAATTGACCAAACACATCATGCCCCCTTTCTTTCCAACAATCACAAGTACTACAAAAGTTGATGTATGACAGGTATTTATAGAAGCAGTACTTAAGCTTTCTAGTCAACATCTGTCAAGCTTTGTACTTATATCACCTAGAATCACATAATGCTTGTTTTTAGAAACTAATTTTGGTGTAAAGTTTTGTTTACATCTTTTTATGTAATTTTTGTTTGGTAAAACTCGTGCTACTAAACATATCAGATCGTTCATATTATACCATCTAGTAAAATCTTCCTCTATAGCACAAAACCCTACTAAAGTAATTATTTGATGGTGAACCAAATAGCGCAACTATTATCCAAATAAGTAGCAAAGGATTCAAATGGATGTAAAGACTGACCCTGCATTGAATATTATGGGTGGCAAGAGATATATGAAGAAAAGATCTTCACTGAAGACCAGAAGATGTGAGCTTTTTCCTTTACTAATCAACAAAATGACAACACCAGTGGCAAGCCCCTGCAACCAAATCGCTCAGAAGTCATTCAAGGTGAAACATGTGTGATTAATCAGCTACCTGAAGTTGAATCAATCATAAGTACACAGGCACTAACGTCTGTGATTCCCTTCTATTCAAGATAATAGACAAATTTCAGTGAACTTACAATCAACAACGCTGTGATGGATTCGTTCATCCATCGGTTCTCCTCCAAAAGATGGCCAAGCACAATACAAGCACAAAGAAGTGCAACAAAGAGATTCAACGAAACCACAGAGGCGTGATCAGAGGTCGATAATGACGGCATTTTAGATATAAAAGAATCGAAATATGATGCCAGCATTGCCATCTTCTAGATCCACCAAATTCCGTGTTGCCCTCCCAGAATATATAACCGAACGAGAGTACACAACAACTATTGAGACATCAACAAGTACAACATTCAGATTTTGGATCAGCAAATCGGAAATCTCTTATCTTTCCGTGCTGTCCATTGAAACAATTCCTGCAATAACATTATCAAAGAATATTAGTGTAAGGCAATCACTTAAGTTGATTTCTCAACCCCTGTCAATTACTGTCTTAATATTCCCACCAAAAATCTAATAAATTTCTTCACGTAAATTAGAAAAGCAGTAGTAACAAAAATGGAAAACAGAGCTGAGACTAAGCCGAAAATCAATGTGCTTACAGATAATCAGTGAAGCCATTATGAATCAGCTTTGACTAGCTTTTTTAATACGTAAAACATTTTAAAAACGCAGAGGGTTCAAAAAGTGAATCCAAATCTGAGATTCTTTTAAGTTTTAACGCAAAAAAAGTGCACAAATCCCGAAAGGCTAATCTATATATAATACTACTACAACAACATAAACCAAATTCTCAAAATTTCCCATTTTTGGTAATACACCCAATCTAAGCAAGACAAGGATTAGGCTGAACTTAATCCCCGAGGATTTTGTTTCCTCCTTTATCCCAGAAACCAAAAAAAAAAACATAAAAAGAGAAGATGGTGGATCTGAATTGCTTACCTCAGCTGCTTCCGCGTGATCTGATTATCTCCAGGAAGAACTTCTAATTGTTAAGAAGGCGAATAATAAAGTCAAAGCTCACGAGAACAAAAATCAATACGGAGATCGAAGCTCCGAAGCTAAAGCCTGAGATTCTTCTACACGACCGTGTTCGAGCTTCAAGAGTAAAACAAGAGAACAGAGACGCGATTCGAAGACCAGAACACGAAAGAGAAAACGAAGGAATCGAGCAGAAAACAGGAGAGAAAATTACGCGACTGAGAATTATACGAGTTCGATATTCTGAAAATAGAGAGAGACGTGTACGGTCCTGCGTGTAGAGAGAGAGAGAGAGAGAGAGAGAGAGAGAGAGAGAGAGAGAGAGAGAGCGAGAGAGATTCTAATTTCTTATGGGAATTTCTAATTTCATATACAAATAGGAGAGAGAGTATTCTCTGCAGGTAAACTGGCACAAATGGTGGAATCTAAACCGTCGATTTAAATTACTTTCTCTGATCTTGAACAGTGACAGTGTGATGGTTTATTGTGAAACTCATCGTAGGTGATTAACCCTGACTAACGGCGACCTTTTAGAGTCTATTTATTTATTTACTGCTCATGCATTGACCAGTGATTTTTTATTTGATTCGTCTTTATTTTACTTTTGTACCTGGAGATTCAAGTTTTTGAGTCACCTTGTTTACTGAACTTTAATCCAAAAAATTTCATTTTCTAATTTATCTTTTTAAATTTTGATGCAAGAAATCGTAGGCAAGTTAATCTTATTATACATAACGAGTAGTTTGTTATATACTAGTATTTACTGTTAATTGTTTTTTTTTTAAATAGTTGTAACTTTAAATTTATCAAATAAAGTGTCATTCAAGTGTTACATCTTGAAAGCCTTTGGTCAAAAAAAACAAAAAGTGTTATAATTGACTACTAAAATTTATCAAATACGACCACACATATTTTTTTTAACTGCCTTCAAGTGTCAATTGTTTTGGAAATGTTGTCTAATATCTATTATTAGTGTGATTACAAATTTTTAAGGTACTCATGATATAGTCTTGTTGATGTGTCCACAATAACAATATTGTATATCGGACGGTTTGGATTCATGCAACCCAATTTTCAACTTATATAAAGAGTGATACATACGAATCTAAAGATAAAATAAGTTTTAAGATCTGAATCTCAGGACGAAAGTAGCCAATGATCTACCCTAGAATATAAAAATACGAGTCGCTCTGTGAATTGTTAATTAGTTTAATTAGAAACTCATATAAGTGCCGAATTTGCTCCTAGAAGGTATATATATGCCATAACCACAGAATTGTCTAGTTACTTATCGTGGTTCTTTTAATTTTATTATATCAATCATATATGTTCAGAAACAAACATAACAAATTATACAAATCTAATCCTTTCTCATCAACGAAGTTACAGAGCTTCTCGGGTTTATTTTTCTTTCTCGTGTCTAATTCACCTAACAATGTTTATTTGTAATGTTGTTCTTTTCATGAAATTTAAGAGGGATGAATGATCCCCCATTATTTAGTCATTATTTCCTGTCAAATAAAAATAACATAACCAGCCAAGATTCAACTACGTGATCGGAAAAATATACAACGTTTATACAAGCTCCAAAGCTTGAAAAAAAAAAAAAAGCTCCAAAGCTTGTCCACGTCGTAGTCGTAGACATTGTTAAAGAAAGTTGACTGAAATCTTCGCACAACAAAATGATCAGAATCTCGTTAATATTGGATTATCATGCCGAATATGTATACAGTTGTCGGGTATTTAACGTGCAATTTAGTGCCAAGCAAGAAAGATAATTTGTCATCTTGAAGGGATAATATTAACATACAGAAGACGAGACTAAGTCACGTAACTTAGACATGTGTAGCAATAATGTACTCACAAAACAAACTGCTTTCATTATCACATATTATCATACATGAATTGGCTTTTCAAAAATTTGAAGGTCATGTGAATTTCGTTAAGAAAAATATGTGATGTGTTTAGCAGAAAACAGAAAAACATGTGATGTCAAATAAAGTAGGGCCAAATTCCATGTATTATATAAGTATTCAGTTCTTTTGGAATTAAAGATCAAGTACAAATGCATCTCTACATATCCAAATATACTATCATATTCCTGATTTACATATTCACGACAAGATATTGTTTTTCTGTAGTTATATCAAAATGGAAATAGTAGAAAATTATATATAAATTGTTGGCATGTTGCTCCGTGCCTACGAAAGCAGGTTAAGTGGAAACTCCGGTATACATGATCTGTCTAAAATTAGTCGAACACCTTAAATTGAATTTAGTCAGGCAGTCTGATTCTTATCTGGATCACCTAAGGTTATATATTAAAGAAAGAAGCCATGACTAAGAAACTCTTCATAAGTTTACTTATTTTTCGATTTTATAGTTTCTATTTTAAAAAATCAATTTTCCTTTTCTTTCTTTTTTGTTATTTTGTTTTCTTTGAAAAATGAATAACTAACAATAGAAAATTTTATATTAATACAATAACACACGTCAGGCTCCAGCTTTATCTAATAAGATAGTTTCACCTCACAAAACACTGGCCAACCCGATTGTTTCCGCTTCGTCTTCTTTAGCATCTGAAGTGCTTGGTGGTCCGCGTGACCTTACTGAAGGTAAGAACAGTTTAAGAACTGTCAAAAAGCTGAGGATTCTTACATATGGTAACTTGTGACGTGTATAAGAGTTAGGGATGCTTACAAGTGACGTTGGTGATAACATTCATGGTTTTCTGAGCAGCAAGTGCTCTTAAGTTGTTCCCTGTACCTAACAGCAACAAGCTCCTCATGAGTTGCTTCTGCTCTTTGGGACTTGGCGTTTTCGCCACGGTTTCTTCGAAAGCACGCAAGTCGTTGGGTGTGAGACAAGGAAGTGAAAGCAAAACCTGATACCATCTAGAGTCAGCTTTTTACAATACAGCATGCAAAAGGATTTGTGATTGATCAATTCTATTAGAGAAACTGACCTGACGGGGAGCTTGGTCTCTGTCTGAGAGGTAAATAAATATTTCACGGCATAGATTAACTAGATCAGAGCTGTTTACGGCATTTGACTCCAAGGCTAAACCTCTAATGACCGAAGAAAACAAATCTTTTGACACAAATTCTCTGAGCTCAACGTTATTTGTTAGAATCGCTAGAAGGACAACAACACCACAAAAGGAACAGACTTTGGTGGTTGCCTCCCCATCTGTCCATGTAAACACTTCCAAACAGATCTGCAGTGCTGGGAGAGCCACATTTTTGTGATTCAGGAGGAAACTGCAAACACGATACATTCTTTTCATCCAAAAGTTACCAAGAAAAGAATTTGGAAAGCGAGAACAGTATACGTACCCCACTATTGAGTTGGATTTAAATGCAAGCAAATCCTTGAGAGTAGACATGTCCATACGGCCCACATGGCCTGAATGCTCCAAAACAGGAAGCCCAGGGTTTAAACCAGGAGAAGCCATCGTTGAAAGGAGGGTGGCAATCTCCTTGGTTAAATCCCTGAGCAGTTTTTCTTCCATTACTTCAAGTTTCATGTCCGGCCCATTTTGTACACCGAACGAATCTGGAACTTGTGCTCTGCCCTCACGCATAAGACTGGACCAAGAGGAGCTAGTAGCTTGCTGACAACAAATAAATAATGGGTGCAGGAGCACTTCAAGCCATGAATCCCACATATTTGCCGGACAAGATTTTACTACATAAACTACAAATGAATGAATAAGCTGTCGCATGTGCCTGAACTCCATTGACTGTAAGTTCTCCATGAGTGCTACTGCGACATAGTTAGCATCTAGGCATTTGAAGAATGTATCTCCGATTGTAGCTGATAGACCCAACACACAGTATCTGAATATGTAGACAATATTTGTTGCACACAAAGTTTAGATAACCGGGAATGAAAAGAAAGATGCTGTTTAAGGCCTAAAGGAAGTTACTAGATGCTTACCCACTATCTCGGATGCCTTTCAACCAATTTCGCACACCAGAGTCATTTGCCTCAGATTGTCCTTCTCTACCACCATCAAAAGATCCATCAGCATAAACCAACGAGGCTTTTGACATTTTAGGAATTGCTTCCCCAAGGAGACTGTATCGCTCAACATCAGCCATTGTCATAGCTGCCCTCATCTCTGGGGGTAGGGTTTGACATACTGAGGGAGACCAAAGGGAATGAATAACACGGAGAAGCTGTAGAAAAAAGATAAATGAGTGTTATCATGTTAATCTTTCGAAGAAATCCTGACCAGGTTTTGGTAGCGACCAAGTTTAGTTACGTTTTGACCAAGAATATCCATGAGGGAATATAAACATACTTTCAAGAGAGGTGGCAACATCCAAGAAAGATGATGAGCCATAGGATGCAAATCTTGACTTGTTACGGAGGTCGTATTCAAGTTGCTTTTTCTGTGTCCACTTCTCTTGAGTGCCTTCTCAAAGAATGTAACTGTGTGGAACAAAGACCACATGAAGGGTGTGTTGGAGCACAAACGAACAAGACCCACAGGGTCTGATAGATAGCAATTCTGCCACTCTAATTGGATCCACTGTTGGCTCAATGGCTCCAGTAACCAAGCAAGAATTTCTTGCTGCTGTTGAGCTCTGTACCAATTTCAGATCTTATCTAAGAACATAATAAATCTGGTGCTGGATAAAATGCAACAAATGAAATTTCATATTACCCTGCTGCAGAAGCCATAACAAGAAATGCTTCACCCAGAATGTTATGCTCCCCACGGAGCAAAGTTCCTTCTCTTTGCATATGTGCCATTGTATCAGCAATAGACTGTGCAAATAGCATGAATTAGAAAGAGGGCTAACATGAAATCATATCACATGCAAATGATAATTCCAAACGGCAGAAAATTACGAATAGGCGACCTTCACAATATAAGTCCATCATTTTCTAGCACATAAATAAAGTCATAGTGTACATCATCATGAATAGGCAAGCTTCAGAATATAAGTTCATCAACCAACAACAGGTATTATGTTACTTTAATTTGAACAAGATGACAAACTAGACACCTCTGTTTGAAATCATGCAAATGAACAACAGAGCGCACAAGGTTATCAAATCAGAGGTGGTCTCCAACATGTATCCATATATCAGAGCGCACAAGCTTATCAGATCACAGGGCCACTTTCCAGAATTAAGATCTGAGTAATTATAGGTGCCATGTTTTGTATCTGAGTCTCTGAAGGGAAGGAGGGACAGATCAGATTTACCTTCATGTGAGGCAAAACACTTTTATCAGCAGCTTTAGCTATGCGTATAAAAGACGTACAAATCTGCAATCTTGCAACTCTTGAAGTACTAGTTGCTGGATCCTGCCAAGGAAACAAGATATAAGAAAACTCATTTACTTCTCAAATCTAGGCAATGTAAATAATAGGATATTATTTGTATATGTAGGCATGTGTATATGCGGTTGGATACATTCCAACATTGAAAATATGTAACAGAAGGAAACCTTGACAATATGTGGAAGAGAGGTAAGAAGTTCAAACAATTTGTTGATCACACTTCCAACTGCATCTGGGAAATACTTGAGAAATGGACCCATTGCATCCAGATAATGTCCATGCATTTTTATAAGTTCCGGCTCAGTCCATTTCAAAGAGAGAAGCTGCTGAAGCAAGCCTGTTCGTCAACAACACGAAAATGAACGAATGCGGTTTCGAAATGTCAAAATAAACACATGCTGGAAGGATCTAAAATATGCTAACACATACCTTCAAATATTCCTCGCAATGAAAAATGAACTTCAGAACTACCACCAGCAAACTCATTGGATCCATCAAAAACGGTTGCCACAATACAATCAAATGCCAACTGCTGGCTGTCCACCACTGCTACATCCTGAAATTCAAGTTTGTATGATGAACAAATATAATTATTGAATATCACAGTTATCTAAAGTTGCATGTTGTGAAAGAGCTCAACAGACAAAAAGCAAGTCTTTGGGACTAACCTGAAGAGGCACTGGAGAAGCCAATAGATCCTTAATGAGAGTGATAATCCTTTCGGATATTTTAGCACTGGCAACGAGGGGCTTGTGAGAGGCAATAAACTTAATCAAGTCTAACTGCACCAAATAAATCAGTTTTTGGTTAGTTTGTTGTCAAGGGAATTACTATTCAATACATTTGGCTCGGGAACATACAAGCCTTGAACGGTATTGGCCAAAGTCTCCCTTTCCTTCGAACTCATCACTCCACAGTTCTAGAGGCCCAAGAGAAAGAGCAATTCGAGGAGGAACTTTCTCTTTCTTAAGCATCCGCTGGAAAGATACTTCCAGGATTGTGCTAGAGATCTCATCACTTATAAGACCTAGAATCTTTTTCTTTTCGTTATCAATTTGGCTTGAACTTTGAACACCATCAACTGCTGGTCCCTCTCCACTTGGATAAACGGCAGCCTTCGGCTTTGAAAGTAAATCCCTCATTAGTGCCTACAAGACAAGACAAAAGAAAGGAGCGCTAAATTCAGCTTAGATTCTGTATTTTCTCTATGATTGATAATTCCCAATGGATGGTGGAACTGGAAAAGATCGTCATTAGATAATCTAACATACCAGCCAGAAGAGCATTGCTTCAAAGTGAAGATCCAACTTAAAGTGTTGAAAGAAACCAAGCATCTACAGCAAAAAAAAAACCGGTCAAACAAACGTGTTCAAACGAACAGATTAAAACATCTTCAGGCTCATCATTTAAATTTGAAAGGAGATAAATTACATAACGATGTCGGTACCTGTTGAAGGTATAAAGCCAGAACACCACCATCGGTAGCAATACATTGCAAGTTTGTTGAACCTAAAGAAACCAAACTTTCACATATACACTCAGCAAACTCATAATCACTTTCATCGATAACCCCAGCGCATGAGGCTGATCTGTGTAAGAATTCTCTGGAGACATTCATCAGACTCTGAAACAGACTGCTAATCGCAGAGTCGAATTCAGTATCAGAAGCATCACTAGGTCTTTTTCTGCACAGAAGGAAAGTTTTTTTTTTCAAATGTCTACTAGTCATTATTTTAAGGATATCAGGTCAAACAGCCCAGTTGCATACCTTGAGCAGACAAGTTTGAAAAACTCACAAGCATGAAGACGGAAGTCAGGAGAAGAAAGTAAGACGCCACACCTATTACGAATTTGGGGAGCATGTTTAGCAAGAAATATATGGATGATGATGATCTGTAATATTTTTCTCTGCATGAGTAACCTTACCCATTAATGATTCCATATCTAGAAAGATCTAGTAGAGGAGCCCATTCAGCATATGCATTGATGGCATTTAAACAAGCTATAACCACAGCCGCGTGCTGTTTTGCCAGGTCAACCTGTTGCCTACTAGCTTCACTCATCGCAGCTCCAAAGTGTCTCTCCAGAAGCTGCATTTTAAGTAATGCATCAAATTACCGCTACAACAAAAAACTTACGTGAGTGGAAAAAAGTTGTGACATACATTATACAATAAAGGCAAAATCTCAGGCAAAGATTGAGTAAGTCCCCGCAACAGTACCCGGCGCCTGTCACCTGAAGAGAAAGTCCACGCAGAAGTTAGAGAGGAAAAAAGGCAATTTAGATGAAAAAATAAGACCAAATAGGTACTTCCTCAAAAATTCTGTGTGAAATAAATCATATAGGGAAAAAATTACTATCTACATTAGGGTAAACTGTGTAACTGAACTAACAACCCAAAGTTAGCAAATATGCGTTTTTGAGAACCTCATTAATTCTAGCATGAGCAAAACTACAAAACTGAAAGAGCAGCACACCACAGATAGAAAAATGTGAAAAAAACTAAAACTCCACCACTCTTAAGTACCTTCCAAGTCCTCATTGTGAACAGTAATATCTTCAGGAAGCCATCTCAGCATCATTGAGACCACTTCAGCCTGGTGTTTGAGATAATATGGTAACACTTTATACGTCTGCTTTAAAATTTATTTTAACAAATCAAAGAATGAGAAAGCAATCTACTTGTAACGGGCCCTGTGCGGACAAGGACGCTAGTGAAGGAAACAACTCCTGCCAAAGATCGGACCCTTCTCTTCTAACTATCTGTAACAAGAAAACATTATTAATCCACACAACTTGAGTGAAAGCAAACACTAATGACGACTGCAGGTGAAACTCAAACGAATTCGAACTCCTACCTCAGCTACAAGGGCAGCTGACTGACTCTTCAGAGACCATTCCTCACATGGATTAGCAATCTCTGACATTAGTTCAACAGAGACCTTAGCAAAATCCCTGCGCTCTGATGGGCTTAGTTCCTCCCACCGTAGTCTAACCAAATGCTGCAAAAAGAGAAAAATAGATACACGATAAGGTTGCTATACCCTTATATAGAGATTATCACGTACAGGTATAGCACACAACATTGCTAAACTTTGAGCTTTTTTCAAAATTCAAATTGGTAATCTCATTACAGCATGGGCATAAGTTCATCATTGTAAGTGTTTGAAGAATGTCGGAAAAAACCATCAAAATTTGACTTGATATCCAAAAACTTTGGTAGAAGAGTCTACATGTTATCTCATTTAGTAAGATGATATTTCCAAACTGAACCTCCTAACTATTTGGAGACTAACAATTGATTTGATTCTGAAGAAAAAAAGACACTCAAATTAGCATGTATAGAATCTATCCTTTCGCCTTTAACATCGAACCTTTCCCAGTTTAACTCAGCAGCAGCAGTTAATTGAAAATACAATAATATCCCAAAGGAATACAGCTTCGCACAAACCTGTAGCATTTTGAAGGCATGCAATCGAATTTCTGAAGAGCACTCCCTTTTCACTAGAAGTAAGGAAATGTGTGCTAAAACCCTGATATCTCCAGATTTAATCTGCAATTACAGTAAGAAAACAGGACAGGGTTGGCTAAATCAAAACAAATGCAAAGACTTTCATAAAATCTTCAGGTATTCAAGAAATAATCTAACAAAATTGAACAACATTCATGATAACCGTGATAGATGCAAGGAATCTAGGTTCAAAATAAAAATTTGCAATTTATTGCTCCTATTAAAACTACAACCAATTTGAGCGGGAGAAATAACTCTCTCCAATCAGTGTAGTAATCAAACCTTAAACACGCCCCAAATAGAAGAGCCTCATGGAAATAAGCAACAAGAGCATTCAAAAACACAAACCTTAAAACCAGAAAAGTTATTTTTTTAGGCAGGATCCTGGTAAATTTAAACCTTAAAGAAGCCCAAAGATAGCAGAAGCTCAGCATTCCCATATAAAACTCAGAGAATTGAAACACAAATTCCTCAAAACAGTGAAAGCATGCTAAAATTTAATATTCACACTCAAATCAATCACAGGACAGAATGGAAAGATTGAGGAAAACTGGAAAAAAAAAGAAAAGATGAAGTTTTTACAGATTCGAGGAATGCAACGGCCGCTTTGCGAGCATCGGGAGTGGAGTTATAATCGAGGACGGCGAGAATCGCTTGGGCCACATTAGTCGCCGTGTTTTTGCTATCATCCATTGTTTCCGGCGGATAAAAGGAGAAAAGTTCCCCTTTCAGAAACCGGAGCTTCCTACCTAATTCTCTTCTGCTTCTATTCTTCTTTCAAAAATCAAGAGGGAGAGAGAGAGAGGGAGCTGAGTCTGGTCCTCTGGTTTCAATGGGGTTTTAAAACTATTAGTAGTATAAGAGCCGACTTAGAAATAAACTTTCGGCTTTGGGGATTTGATTTAGCGTAGAAAAACTTCCGTTTCGAATTAAATGCATTTTTATACCGTAATTGCCGACAAAAAAAAGAATCATTACTTATTAGACGTCAAAAACTAGTATGGTCCTCTTTTTTAATAGGATGTAATTAATTTTAAAATGTACTCAATAAGTTCATTAAAATTACATAGATTCTTTTCTTTGTCCAAAACGGAGAAATACAGATTCTACACTAGGAAATAAACTCAAAAAGTATCTATGCTATATAGTTTCTACATTCAAATTCAAACGTAGTCAATTCTCTTTGTACCATATTGAGATTTTAAAAAATACGAATTTTCTCCTTTTGCCATATTACTCCTAATGGCCTACTAATAAAAAAAAAAGAAACTTTACGTATTTTGCGAATGACTAGAATTTAAGATTCTTCCCTAATCTGTTTGAAAGTTGAATCTCGTAAGATCCTTCAATTGAATTCTTTAAGTAGAAATGCAAGTTTCAGTTTGATAAAAAAAATGCATGTTTTTCTTGGAAAAATGACTAAACCACACATTACCTTACTAAACGAGTTCTTTAAGATTCAGATAACTAACCTTAACACCTAAAGCAAAAGAAAATCAAATTATTTTTTTGTTCCTGATAAAACGGTAAAGACAAAAATCAAACATACGCACGCAAAAATTTTAAACTCTCCTCAGACATCAGTCTTCTTTTTCTTCTTTTCCTTCTTTTCTTTCTTTTCCTTCTTCTTCGCTGGCATTTCCGTTTCTTCTTCTTCGTGTTTTCTCTTCTTCTTTTTCTCTTTCTTTGCAGGTTCTTCGGTTTCAGGTTCTACTTCTGTCTTCTTCTTCTTCGACTTCTTCTTCGACGGTTCCTCGGTTATGGTTTCTTCCTCTGCATCTGCCTTCTTCTTCTTCTTTTTATCTTTCTTCTCTTTGACACCGTTCTCAGCTGAGTCTGCTTTGGGAGTTTGTCCAAGAAGAGAGTCGGCAGCACTGTTGTAAGTCTGCACGCACACAGTAACAAAGTTAGACCCTTAAACCAAATTTACAAACAATGCATCACTTCCTTTAAACAAAAGCAATCAGACGTGTACAAAAGAAATATGAAGAATCAAAACAAATTGTAGTTAATCTGACCTTGGCAGGAGTGATCAGACCTCCAGATCCCTTCTTTTTATCCTTGTCATAAACTTCAATCTTTGGTTTGCCTTTAGCTGAGCCAGATAGACGTCCTAAATCTTTTCCTTCGAGATTTCTCAACCGTGCTTCAAGCTATCAGGGAAAAAAATTTAGAACACATGGTAACCATTAATGAAGGAAGAAAATGGTAGTTTAGATCGACAAAGACAGAAGAAAAATGTAGAAGAGTACCTTTAAACGGTTTTCCACTCCCATAGTGTTGTCTTGGCCATCACCAAGAGCATCACATCGGATAGCAAGTGCAGCTTTTGCAGCTAGTGACCGTGAGATCTTACCCTTGTGCTTCGGTGCAGCTTGGCCAACCACAGATGCGTGGTAAATTAGACCATACTTTGGAGTAGCGTGTTTGGTCTTGAGGGCTCTAAATAAGGCTTTTTCAGCTCCAAGAATCTGAACCGTGCTCCCAGGTTGCTTTGCAAGGTTCAATAAACTACCACCATGAGAAATTAGGCGAGCACCAACTAGCTCCCCGACAAGGGCCGTCAGATTTGGTGCAATTGTGTTCATTCTGCTCTTCAAGTAGTCATAAAGCTGAGCTCTGTACTCAGCAAGAGAAAGAACCTGGTCGCAGAGTTCCCGGATGTGCATCAAATCAAGGTCACTAACTTCAGTTCCCATAGATATCACAGCAGCCTCCTTCAATTCCCCTTCAACTTCATCAGCCAATATCTGAGACCAGGCCAGACACAGAAAAATGTATCAGAAAGAATGCAAAATTATTTTCAAGCAAAAAAGCAAAATCTGTGAAAGTTGAATCCTAAAACCACAAAAAACAATCAAAGAGAATAGTAAACAAAGCTTAACCTCAGAGAAGTCTAGCTTAGCGGCATTAATCCGATTTCCCATTAATTTGACAGACTTGGCATATAGGATATTGTCTTGTATGATCTTAGCAAGCTCGGGAAAATGCCAGCCGTACCATTCACGGACCCTCATAGCATAAGTGTTGAGCTCTTTGTCAAGATCATCAAGCAGACCAATCGCTTGGATAATCATGGTATCCACCTGACAAAAACGAATCCATTAGGAGATGCAAGAACGACATACAGAGAAACTCCACAGCATTTCAGACAAAAATGTTGGAACAGCAAAAAAGGGACGCAAGTTTAATACAGAAATACCATAAATTTCTGTAAGTAAATTGCACTGACAAAAAGACTACCTTGTCAGAACTGAACTTGAGTTTATATCTAGCAAGGCTGTGAGACAACCCCAAGCTCATTGGAGCTAGATCTTGATCCCCCAAACCAGAAATAAGTTCTGTGAACTGGCTTCTCACACCTCGGAGCAGCTCCATAACGGCGTTGTTGTGAACACAGTCTATTTTCTACACGAGTGAACCGAAGCAAATCCATTAGAAACAACCCATATCAAGAAATAACAGAGCATAATGAAACCTTGCAACAAAATACATACCAATTTCTCCTTGATAATATTTCCAAGCTTCGAGTCAGCGACAGCTAAAGCTTCACCTTCACAGTTAGCTTTCAGAAATTTGCGGAGACCCTTGCTGGGAGCTCCCTCCAGCAATTTAGCCACAGCTTCAAGAGCTTCAGACGTGTTGTCAAACTTGTCAAAAGCTTGTAGCTTGACCATCTGTACTAACACCAAAATGCTATGAGAAACCTATACTAAACACATAAGTCAGACAGACACTATATATGAACAATCTCCAAAACAAAAGAATCACCTTGCGGGCTGACGCTGCAGAGGAGAACAAATTACCCAAATCCTACAAGCACCAAATTGACATACTTAGAACAAAGATTATCGATAGGCAGACCAAGTTATAAACTTAAAATAAATGAAGCAGGTGAAGATAATAACCTCAACATTAGACAGCTTTCCTTCATCTAGTACTTTAAAAAGGGCGAACCCAGCTGGCGTCTCAAACAGTACGAGCATTTTCACAAGCTCAAGTTAGCTCCTGAAAAAAAAAAATGATTAAGAAAATCACTTAAAATTAACTCAACTTACACTTTGAAGTATAAAAAAACAAAAGCGTGCTAAAGCTACTAAGCTAGCAAGAAACATATTCAAGGGAAGACCTTTTTCCCTGGTTTACACATCATAGTTTCCATGAAAATACAGGAAGAAAATATTGACAGAACACGAGTTAACTTAAAGACGACACTCTGTCAAAGTCTTAAAATAAAGCACCATGACCAGAACTAAACTAAGCCAAAATACTTTTTTTTGTTAAAGACTAAGCCAAAATACAGAACTTGAACCCAAGTAGCATTGAAAACGTTGCGAGAGAGGGCAAGAAAGTTTCGGTACCTTGGATGGTTTACGAATAGCTGCAGCGTTAGAGGGACAGAGGAGGAGAGAGAAATCAGGAGCCGCGAAATTGCTAGGGTTTAACAGGGTATTATAGTTGTTGAAGAAGGGTCGGAGATTCTCAAAACGCTGCGTTTTATATTGCCAAGGGGCCTAGGGTTTTAAATGATTTGATGGGCCTCGTTAAGCCCATTAGGTGGAGTCTACCAAAAGTAAAGCAACAAAATTAGTTGAAAACTTGTTGAAATCAGTTATGTTGCGCACAGAAAAAAAAAAAAAAAGTTATCTTACGAACGAAAGATGGAATCTTTATAACCCAAATTGAAAATGGAATCTTTGAAGTTGTTGTCTTTACTGCGAGAATGCACCAATGCCAAGTCTCTAAGACAAGTAAAGCTTCTTCACCAGAGAATACTCGCGGTTGGGTTGCAGAGCGACGTCGTTCTTTGCAAAAGTCTCATCAATGTCTACTTCGCTTGTAAGGACCATTGCTCGGCGAGACTCGTCTTCGAGAAGATCGATGTCCAATCGGATGTCTACCTCTGGAACTCACTCGTGTCCGGGTACGCAAAGAACTCCATGTTCCACGAAGCTCTTGAGGTATTCAGGAGATTACTGAATTGCACAATTTGCGTCTCTGATTCTTACACATACCCAAACGTGATTAAGGCCTATGGTGCGCTGGGAAGAGAGTTTCATGGTAGAATGATTCATAGCCTTCTGGTGAAGAGTGGGCATGTCTGTGATGTGGTCGTGGCAAGCTCTTTGGTCGGCATGTACGCAAAGTTTAATTTATTTGAAAATTCAGTACAAGTGTTCGACGAAATGCCTGAGAGAGATGTTGCGTCTTGGAACACGGTTATATCCAGTTTTTATCAAAGCGGGGAGGCAGAGAAGGCTCTGGAGTTATTCGGAAGTATGGAAAGCTCTGGCTTTGAACCAAATTCAGTGTCACTGACAGTAGCAATATCAGCGTGCTCGAGGTTGTTGTGTTTGGAGAGAGGGAGGGAGATCCATAGAAAATATGTGAAGAAAGGGTTCGAGTCAGATGAGTATGTAAACTCTGCCCTTGTAGATATGTATGCGAAATGTGGCTGCTTGGAGATGGCTAGAGAGGTTTTTCAGCAAATGCCTAGAAAGAGTTTGGTTGCTTGGAATTCTATGATCAGAGGTCATGTCGCTAAAGGAGATAGTAAGTCTTGTGTTGAGCTTTTGAATAGAATGATCATAGAAGGAACTCGACCAAGTCAAGCAACCTTGACCAGCATTCTGATGGCTTGCTCTCGGTCATGGAATGTCCTACATGGAAAATCCGTACACGGTTATGTGATTAGGAGCATTGTAGATCCAGATATCTATTTTGACTGTTCCCTGATTGATCTTTACTTCAAGTTTGGTGAAGTAAAGTTGGCTGAAACCGTCTTCGCAAAGACACAGAAGGCCGTCGTTGAGTCCTGGAATGTTATGATCTCTGGATATGTCAGTGTAGGTAATTGGTTTAAGGCTATTGAAGTGTTTGACCAAATAGTTAGTGTTGGAGTGAAGCCAGACGTAGTAACTCTCACAAGTGTTTTACCTGCTTGTTCGCAACTGGCTGCATTAGAGAAAGGCAAGCGAATTCATTTGATCATTAAAGAGAGTAGGCTCCAAACAGATGAGTTGCTGATGAATGCACTTCTTGACATGTATTCTAAATGCGGCGATGTAAAAGAGGCTTCTAGAATTTTTAAAAGTATACGAGTTAAGGATGTAGTGTCCTGGACAGTAATGATCTCTGCGTATGGATCTCATGGTCAACCCAGAGAAGCGCTTTACCATTTTGATGAAATGCAGAAGTTTGGTGTAAAACCCGATGAGGTTACTTTTCTTGCTATGCTCTCAGCATGTGGTCATGCTGGGTTTATTGATGAAGGTGTAAAGTTATTCAACCAGATGAGATCCAAGTACGGAATCGAGCCTAGTATTGAACACTACTCGTGCTTGATTGACATTCTTGGCCGAGCAGGTCGGTTGCTTGAAGCTTACGACATTCTTCAACAAAAACCGGAGACAAGAGATAATGCAGAGCTTCTCAGAACTCTCTTCTCTGCCTGTTGCTTGCACCGGGATTATTCACTGGGAGATAGAATCGCAAGATTGCTTGTGGAGAAATATCCAGATGATGCATCAACCTACACTGTCTTGCTCAATTTGCATGCTTCTGGTGAGTCATGGGATGCAGCAAGGCTAATCAGATTGAAGATGAAAGAAATGAGACTGAAGAAGAAACCGGGTTGCTGCTGGATTGTGATTAATGAACAACTGTGGCACTTCTTTGCTGAGGACATGTGTCATCCACATTCTGATAACATTTATGAATGTCTTGCACTTTTAAGTGGTCACATGGAAGCTGGTCATGTGTCATCCACATTCTGATAACATCAAACAACACAATGTAAAACTATACTTCAAACTTTTCCGCAAATCCAAGGCTATTCATATACCTGCATAAAATACAAATAAAAAGATAAGCTATAATAAGATAACAAGATAAGTAATTCATATACATACCTGCCTAATTTTTTGTTTGATGTTGTTTGTCGTTGTTGACAACAATATCATGGTTGAAACATGCCATTATGAAAATCATTTGGATTTCATATATTTTTGCACAAACAAAGCACTTAGGAATCCAGCTCTGTTAGTCAACAATTTTTATCATTTTGTTATGCATTTTTTCTTTGCTTTGTATGAGAAGAAATTAATGGCTCTGTCTGAAAATTTAAAATCAAGATCAATATCTTGATATGATTTATAATTTTCAAATCCAGTATTATAAAGTTTTCCAAATACCCATCATATATTTGAACAATTAATTCTGGAATATTATCGGAAAAGTTTCAGTTTCTACTAATTGTTTTTCGTTTTTAACCGTAAAAATAAAAATAAAAAATCTTTGTTTGACATTAACCAGACAAGGGTATGGAAACAAATGATATGACAAATAGGTTTTTTTATCAAAGACTATGGAAGACATAAACAAACTTGTGAAATGACTTTTTTTATGACTAAGAGTGTTAATCCAATATTTAACCAAACAAACATTTGCCTGAAAAAAGAACAGATCAAAAGCGATGGCAGAATTTAGACTGATTAATCTTTGTAATGTGAGTTACAAAATGATTTTTAAACTTATGTGCCAAAAAATTAAGAAAGCCCTCTTGAATATGATTTTAGAGACCCAATCCACCATTATGTTTAGATGTTTAATCATGTCATCCGCACTAACCAAAGTTCCACTCTGAGCCCATTTCAATCTTTTATATATGGATGATTGTGTTCTAATCACAACACTGGGTGATTATTATTTCAGGAAACAATAAAGAAGCATGTTCCACAGTTTAAGTATTCCAATGCTCGCCGACAAAAAAAAAAAAAAAAGTATTCCAAAGCTCAACCTATTATACAATCTCAACAAAGGCCTTCAACATCATCTCGATGCTCCACATTCATGCTGCTTCTCAGAGATTCAGGACTCCAAGAACATGACATCTAACGTAAACCAGAGCCAAGACTCATAAATTTGGTGGCCTTTTTACTTAACAAGGAACGCATGACTTTCTGGCCTTCCATGTGGAATATGCACCGAAGAACCCATCATAAAGCCTTGAAGGAATGAGGACAGAGGGTGATATTCATTTCAAAATTCCCTTCTCTTAACTATTTTGATCAACAATAAATTGTGTTCTTTACAACTTCTAAATGAAAAAAGGCAAAGAGCAATATACAGAAATTTAAGGAAGCTTCTTTAGATTGTGTTCTACTATACCATTCCATCAATCTCTAGAAAAAGGGATCAAAGAGTTTTTGAAAAGTGAATATAGAGCCCACTGTACACAGAATATTACATTTTCGTGCCGACTTCCAATATTTAATGACTGATGTTTTTAAGATATTTAATTACGATTTACGATATTTTGATTTATTATAAAATAATTAGAGAAGTAAATTTTTTTTTTTTTTGGTGGGGTTTAGATGAAAACTGAAGTCACTAAGTCAAAACTACATACAAACCAATCCTTAGGCAAAGCTATAATATAAAAAAAAACTTTTAAGATCCGGTGTCAAAGCTCAAAAGGAAATCGTCCATGTCCTTGTCAAGCAAGCAGCTTCACCACATCGAGCTTAGCCACGTCAATGGGAGTTTTATTGTCCAAGTTTTTCAGAGTGCTACAAGCACAAAAAGAACAACAGCTGATGAGTCAAATATAGGCTAATATAGAAACCATTTATTTTGTTTCTTTCTAAAATTGTTTGAAAGAGAGTTTTGGTTTGTTGACAAACTTACACTGCAGCGCCCTTCTCTAGGAGAAGCCTTACACAGTTTTTCCTCCCACGGTAAGCAGCAAAGTGCAGTGGTGTGTTGTTGTGTTTATCAACGGCATTGGCATTTGCTCCAGCATCTAGAAGAACTTTAGCACATTTCATCTGACAACATATAGATTGATATGGTAATTGTCAACTTCCCGTTTCTTGCTAATTAAGATCAGAGATTGACATAACTTGACTCTTGCACATTAAGAGAAAAAAAAAAAAAAAAAAGACATACCTTGCCATATGCGCATGCCAAATGCAGTGGTGTCCTTCCCTCGGAGTCTTCTTCATCTTTGTTAGCGCCAGATGCCAATGCAGCTTTCAGGCCCTACAATGGAGGCACAGTGAGTATTAATCCCAACAAAGAATCAAATACTCAGACAGAGTAGAAAGCAAGCAGCTTTACCTTCACATCACCGAAAGTAGCAGACTTGTGAACAATACCCATTGCTTCAGTCATCTTTGCCAGAGCCGCTTTAGGATCCGAGTAGAAGGCTTCGGTTTGCGGATCCTGAGACAAAAGCAGGAGAAAGAGAAAGAGGGTTCAATTCAATGTCAGGATCAGGCAGGCCACGACTACGAGCTCTACTATATTATTGCTAGTAACTAAGTACCAGATCAAAGTGGTTTTGGAAGGCGCTCTCTCATTCTCGACAAAGCCCGACTCAACCGTTCTGGGTCAAAGGTAAACTCAGGGTTACCTCCTTGCTCCCACGATATCTCAAGATCCTCAGTTGACAGGATAAATCCAGGAGCTGTAGCTAATTTCTCGAAGATTTCCTTGTCCATTGCCGACTAATAGCCAAATAAACCCGTCACACACACAAGAATTTTTGAAAAAAAAAAAAAATCCTATTTAGACTGAACTTCAATCACCTAAAAACATTAGGAAAAAGGCTACTTACAGGGACCTGTAACGGAATGCCTGGGAAATCGAAAGCACTAAGCCCCGACGAATCCTTGCAAACGCTTCTCTCGTCTGCGGAAACGTGACCTACACACAACCCTGTCAAATCTTTACTAAAACGCTTTAAAAATTGGAAAATTATCGAACTATTGGATATTGACTCGAGATAACACAATACCTGAAGGAGGAGTAGGATTTGTCTCTGAAGTTGAAGCCATCGGTTATGTCTAAAAACCCTAGAACAAAAATCCACAGAGATTTATTCAGAAAACCAAACACGAAACAAATAAAGTGGTGGAGGTGATACATATCTATCAATCTACGCGAACGATGAAGATGGAGATTGCAGAGGAAAAGAAGTTACCTTTTTTTTTCTTTTTTTCTCTCTGACTTGATAAAATTTGCTGCTTGTATTATTAACGAATGAAGTTCTAACAAATAGGGTGTATTAACTAATTTAGTATTTATATATCACACAATGTAAAGTCTATCTCGGTTAGGAATTAGTTGTATTATATTATACTAGTAGTCATTATCCTAATAGGAATATGCTTCTCCGTGTTTTTTTGTTTTGTTTTGGTTATAATATTATGATCTTGATACTTCGTTACTCCTTCCCCCTAATTGTTTTACAAACAAAAAAAAAACTGATATGGTTTTTGTTAAAAAGAGAAAATCCCAGTTTACAATTCGATTTATTTTGGTTTTTACGATCTTCGGTGCAGATTTAAGTTTCTAAAGAATCATATTCTCCAATAGTTATTACAAAAACCAAAACTTGGGTTTTCCGTTTTTTCTATGTTCGCTTGGATCATCTGTCTTTCACTTGCTCGATCTTATGTCTTTTTATGTCTCTGAGAAGACATCGGGTTTCTTTAGATTTCTAGCTTTAAACCCATACACATATATTTATCTTGTCAAAAAAAAAAACAATTCTATTTCTTTGATTGCCATTTGATCTAAATTATCAAAAGAAACTATAAAGTACAAGTATAATAGATATTCAAATTTTGTTGTCTTAATTATCTAGCACTGTTGCAAGGGTGTATAAATCAAAATATTATCCAAAATCCACTTTGCTTGAAGCAAAACAAAGTTGGGCTGCAAGTCATGCTTGGCGAAGCATACTGAAAGGTAACAAGCTGCTTAGGCAGGGTATCAAATGGATTGTAGGTAATGGTAAAGAGATTAATACTTGGAAAGATCCTTGGTTGCCTATAAATCCTTCTAACCCGCCTATATATGGGTCCAGGTGCTAACATTTTCCCTAACCTCAAAGTATGTGATTTGTTCAAAGAAGGATCACAAGATTGGGATGATGATAAACTACGTGACTTATGTGATCCTTTGGATGTCCCGCTCATCAAGTTGATCAGACCGTCTTTGACTGGAGCTTCAGATGGTATTACTTGGATGCATACTCGGCATGGAGAGTACACTGTCCGATCTGGTTATCTTCTTCTCCGAAGCAAAAGAGGTCAGTCTTCTTCAGTTCCAACTCAGGCTTTTAAAACTATCTGGAAGCAGGATATTCCACCAAAAATTAAACATTTTTGGTGGAGAGCTTTTCATCACTCACTGTCTGTAGCAATGCAGTTGAAGCAGAAACATATTCTTCAAGATAGTACTTGCCAAGTTTGTGGAGAAGAAACATAATCAGTGGAACATCTCATTTTCAACTGTAGAGTAAGCAAGGAAATATGGGATTTGGCTCCGGTAATCAAACCATCTTCCTTTCAACTTAATCATCAGAGCATTAATGAAATTTATATGTCCTTTGTGGAAGCTAATCATCATGAAAAAGATCACATCCTCTTTTTCCACCTGCTAGGATGGCGAATCTGGAGCAAAGAAATGATGTCATTTTTAACAATACTAGATGGCCAATTCCGCAAATAATTCATAAGACGATGGTGGATTTTAAGTTGTGGAAGGATGCAATGATGGCAAATGATCAGCAAATTCATCAAGCAGAACGTAGTAGAAATTATGAGCAAAGAAACGAGAATTCTATTGTAGCTGAGGATGTTCATCACAATTCACAAGCAGCTAATCGTTTCTTTTGTTGTGTAGATGCATCCTGGATATCTTCATATCAAAAGGCAGGCATAGGATGGATCTTATATAACAGTGGCGGTCAACGTTTGCTTTGCGGGTCTTCTGCAATAGAACCATCACAGTCATCCATAGAAGCAGAGGCTGAAGCTCTCAGAATGGCGGTAATTAACCTTCGCAGACTTGGGTACAAAGGAGTAACAATATGTGGCGACTTACAAGGACTTTATGTTCCTCTTCAACAGACCCAAAGTCTACTCAGCTCACATGAAGGCCATTATCTACCATGGGCGACGTTTCTATATGATATTCAGAAATTGGCTACTCAATGTGACTTTACATTTAGGAAGGTTAATCGTGCAACAAACAGAAATGCTGATGATTTAGCAAAAAAAGCTAGGATAACATTGCAAAATCATGTAATTAAATGGCTGTTGTAAGGTTTTTTTATGAAATGAACAAATTGACGAAAAAAAAAAAAAATTATCTAGCACTGAAATTTTATGTGAACTAAACTTTTCATTAAACCAAGGTTTATCCTTTTTAATGAGTGTACTGAAAATTTGCGTCTCCATTGGCAAAGAACTTGGATAATGGCAAGCCGCTCGGTGAGGAACAAAAAAAAAAGGCACCAACTTTTGTCTTTGAACGGACCTACCATGAACCTGATTCTCTCCAATCATTTTCCTCCTTTTTAATTGTTTTGATCCTACGATGCTCAAAAGTCGTAGTAATCCACTATTTGTTGGAAGAAGAAACAGAGTGGGAGAGAGAGAGAGAGAGTGGAAGATGTTTCATTTCTAAAATCAAGATTCATCATCATTCATCACCAGACACAAGAGTTTTGAATCATTTGACAAAGCCTGCCACCACACGTTCCAGTCCATACAAAAACAAAAACTTGGGTTTTTCAATTCCTATCTCGCTTGGGTCATTTGTCTTTCACTTGCTCGATCTTATGTCTCTGAGAAGACATCGGGTTTCTTTAGATTACTAGCTTTAAACCCATACGCATATGTTCGAATCTGGTTCTGTTTCTCTGGTTTATGCTTCACGAGATTGAGTTTCTTCAAAGTTCAGATTTTACTTTTTTTTCCCCCTTTTTTCCTGGAATTCTTCTGTATTACTTTGCTTCATCTTCACTATTCCCTTCCTCTTTTCTTTTAAATATTCTATTTTTCCGAGGGGTTTTCTTGTTTCTGACAAATAAAACCTTTTCTTTTCTCTCTGCTGGGAAATTACAATAATCAATTATCTTTCCTGAGTTTTATGACAACTCAAGTTGTCTTCTTGTTCAGAGTTCTGTAATTAATTGTATAATACTGATAAGTTTAGTGTTCTTTTCTTCTTTGTTCCTAACTACTGTTCTACATTGCTTACATTGAGCTGTCGTCGTCTCCATTTCACTCCCACTTCCTCTTTGTTTTTTTTAATTCTGTCAGAATTTGGATCGCGTTCAGGTCAGCTGAGAAAAATGTTAATTTCAGCTGAAAAAGGAGAGATCTTGATCTCTCAACCTCTGGTTAGCTCAATGTCAGTTCCTGAATCTATTGAATCGCCACAACCTGTTCCTTTGGTCTACACCGATGTAAATGTTGTTCCGGAACATGAAAGAAATGAGCTTGAAAAGTCAATATCAAGCCTCGAAGGTATCTCCTCTAGTTTTCTTAACACCGTATTTGTTCAAAGTATTTGATCAAGAAGTTTGGAATGAACCAAGCTCGAGTTTAATTTGATCTGGGTTGGTATTTACAGGGGAAGTTTTGGAATTGAAGTTGAAGCTAAAGTCTTTGGATGAAAAGAGAAAGGGAGTTCTGAATAAGATTATAGACACTAAAGGTTCTAACTCCACAATGTCAAAACCTAGTTTTGAAACTCCCTTTTTGGGTTTAAATTTGATTGTTATCTCAAGGATTGGCTTCAATTTGCAGGAAGTATACGTGTGTTCTGTAGAGTTAGGCCATTTCTATTGACAGAAAGGAGACCGAATAGGGAACCCGTTTCTTTTGGACCAGACAATGTTGTTGTTAGATCTGCAGGAGCTCGAAAGGAATTTGAGTTTGATAAAGTTTTCCATCAATCAGCAACTCAAGGTTAGTGTCCTGTTAGGCTTTAGCGATTCCCTTCTTTTTGTTATCTTAGCTTTCTGTTTCCTTCCAGTTGTGAGTAAATGAGGCCTTCTCCTGGTTGAAAAAAAAAAACTATGTAGAAGACGTTTTCGGAGAAGTAAAACCGATTCTTAGATCTGCCCTTGATGGTCACAATGTATGTGTCTTGGCTTATGGTCAAACGGGGACAGGAAAGACTTTCACCATGGTTAGTCATTCTTGATACTCACTCAGATTTTATTGGAACATTGGATTCAAAGAGTTGCTTTTTTTTTCTAAGCTAAGGAAGACTTTGTTTTTTTTTTTTGCCTTGTTTAGGATGGAACAAACGAGCAACCAGGCCTTGCTCCTAGAGCTATTAAAGAGCTTTTCAATGAAGCTTCAATGGATCATACACATTCCGTGTCTTTTACGATGAGTATGTTGGAAATCTACATGGGTAACCTGAAAGATCTGTTGTCTGCAAGACAGCCTTTGCGATCAAATGAAGCCTCAACTAAATGGTAAGTAACCAGCTTTTGTATCCAAAGGTTAATCTCTAAAACCACACAAACATTCTTCTAAGTACCTCCTCTTGTCTGCCTGAACTTTATTGCAGCAACCTCAATATTCAAGTAGACTCAAAGGGTTCGGTCGAAATTGAAGGTTTGACCGAAGTGGAAGTGCATGATTTTACAAAGGCAAGATGGTGGTACAACAAAGGAAGACGAGTCAGATCAACTTCTTGGACAAATGTGAATGAAGCTTCGAGCAGATCTCATTGGTAGGTTCCTGATGGTTTCAACTTTCAACTGTATTTGTCAATTCTCAAAGCATATGTTATTTCAGTTTGGTAGTTACCCTTATGCAATTAGCTTATCCTCTAGTTTAACAAGGATTACGATCTTTCGTCGTGGGGATGCTGTGGGGTCAAAAACTGAAGTTAGCAAGCTTTGGATGATAGATCTCGGGGGAAGCGAGAGGCTCTTGAAAACCGGGGCAATAGGGCAAACACTGGATGAAGGAAGGGCCATAAACCTCTCACTTTCCGCTCTTGGAGACGTTATTGCAGCTTTAAGAAGAAAGAAGGGACATGTTCCTTACAGGCAAGCTCTCAGCTTTTCTTTTCTTTTCACACACATATACCATTGAAGCAGAGACATATATCTGGCAGAAGTGAGATAGATCTCGATTTGGTCATTGCTACTGAGTTTTAACTTTTTCTTTTCCTTGGTTGCAGAAACAGCAAGCTAACTCAAATCCTTAAAGATTCTCTAGGTAAAGGCATATGGTTGCTTATAATAATACCTTATAAGTCTTTTATTTGCTTTCATGAGTTTTAATGGATATGTGATTTAACCTTTTTAGGTACTAGATCGAAGGTTCTTATGCTTGTGCACATAAGTCCACGTGATGAAGATGCGAGTGAAACAATTTGCTCTCTGAACTTCACAAAACGTGCGAGAGCCGTAGAGTCTAACAGAGGATTAACAGAAGTAAGCACATGTACTCCAGTGTTTTTCATTTATATCCATTTCACTGATTGCTGAATGTTTTCATCGTCATTGCTTAGGAACTTCGAAAGCTAAGAGAAAAGAAAATATCGGAACTTGAAGAAGAAATGCAAGACATTCAAGAAAGTTTCAAGAAGATTAAAGCGCGGTTACAGGAAGCAGAGTGTCTGCTTAGTGAAAACAAGAAACTCTTGTGGACCACTAGTGATAATTATCAAGAAGACATCGAAAAGAAAGTTCTTTCGCCTTTAGATCATTTAAAAGATACCAATGCAACCCCAAAATCATCTGATAAACTTGTCAAAATAAGCAAGAGTTCTGGGTTTGTCCCACGTTTCATGAATTCAACTGTTGCCAGTCGCATAAGGCAAACAATGTCAGAGAAGGAAATCAATGCAAAGCCTCAGAGCATACGATCAGTGGCTAGAAATCTTGCTCACTTCTCCACTTCTCAGTCACTTAGCCTCTCTGACTCACGTAGTAGAGGTCTCCTTCGAAGATCATACACAAAGCCTCTCCAAGCTGCAGCTAATAGTGGAACACCAGAAACGCCTAAAAGGGATATCAAACAGAGAAAGAACATCGATGATACTTCTTCGCCAAGGAGCAAGATGGTTACTTCATCAGATCCAAATGTGAGAGCTAAACTTTGTCACCATAGGCGAAGAATGTCAAGTTTGACATGATCTAACAGCGATCAATCAAGAAACAGGTCTTTCTTCTTTCTTTTCCATGTCTTGTGAATGCTCAAGTTTATTATTTTTGTTTTTCGGAGTTCTGGTTTGAGCCCGAGTAAGGTGATGGTTCAGTTGTGATATTAGGACCATTTGGCACTTGTGGATTGCAGTTCTGGTTTTAAAAGGACACAGCCCTCAAGTTACTTCTTTTTTTTTTCTTACATCTGAGAGCTTGCCTATATAATGTTTTGTTTGTGACTGTTCCTAAAATCACTCTTTGGTTTGGTGTTAGCTTGATTTTGTATGATGTTCACAGAAACTGGATCATAATTAATATTCCAGATTCTATCTTCTTTGGGGGTTTCAAAGAAAGAGAAGTGTGTAAAGGTTTTGCGGGTTTTGTATTGTAATCTTTTGAAGTTCCTAATGTTACAATGTAGTTGTGGTTCTGTAACAAGTATTTATTTATACTCTTTGATACATTAATGGATAACAATAGTAAATTTCTTTTACACTCTTTAATTTTTTGTCGTCTAAAAAACCCATTGTTCTTGGTTTCACTCATTAAAAAAAAAAAAAGAGAGTACGATAACAAAAAAAAAACTAAAAAAGAGACGAAGATCTATTAACATTGAAACCAAACCGCGTGGTTTCACTCGACCGGTCCGGCATTCATGTTGCATTAAACGGATCAGCCTAATAAAACCCGGTTTGAGCCGGTTTATTTCCCATCGTTCTAAAATCTGTGAGCTCCAGAGATTCGTGCATTAATGGCGATTTTATCGTCGTCTTCTTCATCATCATCAGCCTCGGCGATGCAGAAAGGAATTGTTGTTACTATACCAGTTCTGGTTCTAACTGCATCGTTTTCTGCGGTTCTCTTCTTCATCATATCGTCTTTTCTGTCCTCCTGCTCATGTCCGCCATCTATACCGTTACTTAACGACGCTGTTGTCGCTGCCGTCGACGGCGGCGATAAGAGGTCGGAGGAGAGGATTTCTACGTCGCAAGAGGATATAGATTGGGTTAAAGACCTGATTAGATCGAACGGTTTGCATATGCAGGAGAATGTTCTCCGGAAAGGGATCAATCCTCGCACAAGGGAACAACAACTCCAAGATCTGATACAGTAATCATATCCACTCTCTCGTTTCGTTTTGATTCAAAATCTCTGAAATCAAACTGATTCAAGTGTTGGAAGCTTTTACTCAGGAGCTTTGAGATTTTGATGCTTGCTTCCTTAAACTCGATTATTGACTTATGGGTAGAGAATTTTCTAGCTAGAGCAAGAGGATCAGAGTGTAGAGCTTGTAACTCACTTTTCATTGATTGTTAGTGTGAATCTTATACATGATATCGTGCTGAATCTAGAGAGATACATATTTAGGAATATTACTAATAATAACCACCATATTTGTGTTTAGAACTTTGGTTTGGCCATCCATTGTGTTGTGTTCTGTAGATTAGTCTCATGAAAGTGCAGGCTCTTTGGATAATATCCTCTGACAAAGAGTTTGATCTTTCCCCTCAAAAAATTGATTTTTTTTTCTTCTTTTGGCAACACTATCTCTCTGGCTGATTTTTAGTAGTTGGATCTGGGGGCTTTCTATATTGGCATATCCTTACTAAAATATAAACTTTTTTGGGATTCAGGTACAAAGGTATCTCGCACTACGAAGGAGATGAAGCAACCAACCACACAGCTCTTCCATGCCCTGGCGAGTTACTTGTTGAGGAGCATCACAGCAACTACGGTGAACCCTGGGCTGGTGGGCGTGACGTGTTTGAGTTCTTAGCTGAAGCAGCGCAGCTAAAACGCGATGCTAGAGTCCTTGAAATAGGCTGTGGTACGCTACGCGTTGGTTTGCATTTCATCCGCTATCTCAACCCCGGGAATTTCCACTGCCTTGAAAAGGATGAGCTTTCTCTAATGGCTGCTCTAAGATACGAGCTCCCTTCTCAAGGTCTTCTGCATAAACGACCTCTTATAATCAGAGGAGAAGATATGGAGTTCAACAAGTTTGGTTCAGGTGTGGCATATGATCTGATATACGCGAGTGCAGTATTCCTGCATATGCGTGATGAACTCGTCTGGACTGGACTCGAAAGGCTAGTAGATAAGTTGAAGCCTCACAAAGGGAGAATCTTTGTGTCACATAACATAAAGTTTTGTACGCGTTTAGGAGGAGACAAATGCACAGAGAGATTAGCAAGCCTAGGACTCGAATCCCTCGGGAGACAAACACATGATAGTTTGCTGTTTAATCACTACGAGATCTGGTTTGGGTTTAGGCGGAACAAAGGATAAAGTTGTATGATTGATTCCACGGCATGTGATTGCTCCAACCTAAGAGGACTGGATCAGTTTTCTTCACACAGAGTTTTACAGATAGTTTGTTGATATGATGATGATGTCTCTGGACCAAGAGAATCTCACAAAGCAGTCAAGTACAGAGCCTCATGTATTGATATACTAGTCAAATGATTTGAGATGGCTATATTTTTTTGATTTGTTTGTTTCCAACAGTTGTATTGTTGTGTTTTGTAATTCTTTTTGTTTGTAATTGAAATATTAATTTGACGTTAACTAATTTATACTGTGTAACTGTTTTGGTTTTATTCTCTGACTCTTAAATCTCAATCTTAAAAAACATCATTTGGATTTCATATATTTTTGCACAAACAAAGCACTTATAGGAATCCAGTTTTGTTAGTGGTGGCATCCATGATGCTTCTTACATACAGAGATGTCTACCATCTTCAGAGACCAGTTATTAACGAGGTTCCAACTTTCATGGACATTATGTGGATGCTTAATGGGAAGATAATATTTTTTCGTTGCATCCACATAACAGGAAGGTAATTCTCTTCGTTGCATCCACATAACGGGAAGGTAATTCTTTTTGTTGCATTTTATAAGAATTACCTTCCTTTTAAGCATCTACATAATGTCTACGAGGGGTGGAACCTCGTTAATAACATCTTAGGCCCTTTGAAGATGGTGGACATCTCTATGTGTGTAAGAAGCATCATGGATGCTAGTTTCCATGCATGTCAACTATAATATTGAAAATACTTAACAAAATGTTAGAATTGTCCACTAACAGGATTCTTATAAATGCTTTGTTTGTGCAAAAATATATAAAATCCAAATGATTTTCATAATGACATGTCATTGCTCGAGGACTGGATCGATTGTCTTAACACAGAGTTTTGAAGATAGTTTGGTGATAATGATATGATGATGTCTGTGAACAAAGAAAATCTCACAAAGCAGTCAAATACACGAGGTTTATGTATTAAATGATTCGAGATATCTATATTTTATCTATTTGTTTGTATCCAAGAATTTGTGTTTTGTAATTCTTTATGTTTGTAATTGGAATATTTTTTTTTATATAATTTGACATCAACTAATTTATACTGTGTAACTGTTTTGGTCTCCGTCTGTCTCTTAAATTTCAATCTTAAAACTAATTGAGTAATTTCAGTTAGCCCAAGAAAAATATTAACTAATTTCATGAAAGCCATTTGAAGGCACGTGACATGCGCGTGCTTAAGATACCCACAGCTCGAATCTGACTCGTTTTATGTTTTTTTTTTTTTTGGCTAACGCAAAGATCTTACTTTCGATTTCGATTTCTTCCTTCGTTCTCAGTTCGTCTCGATCGGAGCTCTTCCGATCTCGATGCTCAATATCCCAATTCAGTTATCTTCCTGGTAACATCGAAGTGGCGCGAAACCTTTAGCATCGGAGCTGCTCTTCAAAGTAACGAAAATGGCTCTGGTGGCGGCGTTGGAGGCGGATCTTCGCGCTCTTTCCGCGGAGGCGCGGCGGAGGTATCCCGCCGTGAAAGATGGAGCAGAGCACGCAATCTTAAAGGTTAGACTTTCCCAGAGTAATGTACATGTCTGCTGTGCGAGCTTGGATTCACTGTGAACATGGTGATATGATGGCGCTTTCCAATTTGGTGTCCGTTTTAGTTATTTTTCACTAACTGAACACTCTACGATTGAATGTGCGTCCGATTCATCATGTGAAGAGTGGCTTATTTATGCATATTTCTCTATGTTCTCACGATAGTTTAGAGCGGCAGAGAAAATGATCGCTTTGGTTTTATGGAAAATTTGATTTTTTGACACTCTTTTCTGCCAAATCTAAGAATAATGAACTGAATGAGGAGTATTGACTTGCTTTCGAATGGCTCGACAGCTATCTCTGTTTTCTGCAACTTGGGTTTTATTTTTAGAATGTAGTTAGTGAATTGAATTGTAAACAGTTCATGCAGTGAGACTCAGTTTATTGCCTGTAAAATAGCGGACTTTATGTATATTTTGTTCTTGTTTCAGCTTCGTTCGTCATCGAGTGCTAGTGATCTTTCAAGCAATGAGGATATACTTCGGATCTTTCTGATGGCCTGTGGAGTCAGGAATACAAAACTTAGTGTTATAGGACTTTCGTGCTTACAGAAGCTTATATCTCATGATGCAGTTGAACCATCATCTCTAAAGGAGATACTTTATACCTTGAAAGATGTAAGTGAGAGTTTCTGTAACTTCGCTTAACTAACTAGAAATTTTCTGTATTGCAACGCAAAGCATTTGAATTTACCTGAGGATTGAGGTTCTGCTCTTCATGTCTTTCATATTTTTTTTAGACTTCCAGTTTTGGAGATACCTTTTGACAAACTGAAGTCTTTCTGATACATAAAAGTTTCTGCTAGAGACATGCCTTCTTTTGTTTTTAGTATGGAAAAGGCGAAATAGATTTACATTTACTTGATAATTTTAATTGTAAAATGCTACCTAACGTGGTGTTTCCTTACTCGCAGCATTCCGAAATGGCAGAAGAAAATATCCAACTAAAGACTCTTCAAACTATTCTAATAATATTTCAATCTCGCCTACATCCAGAAACCGAGGTGAATACGACAAGCTTAGTCTAGTAAGAATAGAAGTCTAACGCAAAACTGCTGGTAGACTAAATTATTAATTCAACCTATAAATCATTCCTGATCCTGGTCATTGGCGTAAATGAAAGTTAGATGGTTTTATGCATATGATAGTAGAATGCAGATTCAGGAAGTTGTTTTTTTTTTCTGGAGTGACCTGTTAATCAAGACCAGGAAAACCAAACCAAACTGTCTTGGGCTAATGTAAACTTATTAGTTCTCCATAGATCTGCTTTCTTATGATTTTGCTACTCTTGAGGCTTTAGCTTCTTTCTTAATTCCAGGATAATATGGTTCTGGGACTAAGTATTTGTCTCAGGCTTCTTGATAACAACCGACTTCCTAGTGTTTACAAGTAAGTTGCTTTCATGCGAATCATACCTCATTACTCATATAGTATATTTTTTCTTTAAACGTTTTCTACTTTATGAAAATCTAAAACCATGGTTTTTTTTTGGTCCCTCAGTACTGCTGCAGCTACTTTCAGGCAAGCAGTTGCATTGATTTTTGATCAAGTGGTTTCGGCTGAGTCCCTTCCTATGCCTAAATTTGGTTCAAGCAGTCAAACAGCAAGGACTGGCTCAGTTACTGGCGATTTGAGTCAGAATATCAGTAATTCAGAGTATGTCAGTCCTGATCATATCTGTCTGACTTACTCTTTTAGCTCATTTTTTGCACTACTGTGAAGATATATATATATATATATATATATATATATATATATATATTATGCTTTTGTGGACTTTTTGTTAATTTTATACACAGTGGGTGATGCAGTCGTTATATGCTGCTTGATTTGTGTTTTTCCTGATAAAAAAAAAATTAAAGACATAGGCTCTCCATTTAACACATTTGGCATTGGTGTTACACTTATTTAATGGACTAACAGAAATATTAAAGCAGGCCCTTGGAGAAAGATGTTATCTCTGGTCGATTGACAACGAGGGACACCCTGAGTGACACCGGTAAACTTGGTCTGCGGTTGCTTGAGGACCTGACAGCCTCAGCTGCAGGTGGATCTGTATGTGTTAATTCAACTATATTGACACTGGTTCTGTATCTCTTCCCCAGCCAAGTGTAGTTAAAGGTTTGTTATATTGATGCTTTTACAGGCAGCTTGGTTGCATGTTACTTCTCTTCCAAGGACCTTTTCCCTTGAACTAATTGAGTGAGTTGGCAAGGCTTTTTAAGAAATATAGCTGCACATGTTGAAATGGAATGAAAAACATGTTTTAAATGCACGAGTTCTCAATTTACTTTGCAGGTTTGTTTTGTCGAACTATATCTCAGTTTTTAAGATACTACTTCCCTACGAGCAGGTAATGCAAGGCTTTTACCAAGTGGGCACTTTTTTTTCATCCTTCCATTAACATGATGACCTATCTGTTAAAATTTTCCTGTTTAATCAGGTTTTGCGTCACCAAATCTGTTCCCTTCTGATGACATCACTTCGGACCAGCTCAGAGGTAAAATCATGCCTCACTGCCTTTGTATCTTTGTATACTTCCACGGGATCTGGAATAAAACCTGGATTAGCATTAGAGCATTTACTCATGGAATTAAGTTTGGTACTGCTCAGCTCGAGGGTGAAATGGTTGAACCTTATTTTCGCCGGTTGGTGCTGCGTTCAGTTGCTCATATTATTCGACTGTATAGTTCGTCTCTTATTACAGAATGCGAGGTACAGTATGCACAACTTAACTAACTTTTGTGCTATTGACTGCTAAGAAACAAAGGCAGAAAACATTTCCATTTCTCTGTGTGCAGGTGTTCCTAAGTATGCTCGTGAAAGCTACATTTTTGGATTTGCCATTATGGCATCGCATTCTTGTTCTTGAGATTTTGAGGGTAATTAGTACAGTCCATTATTACTACTTGCACATGTATGTACGACAGTATATTTGTGCTCAATTTCTTTTCAGTTAACATTTCTAAGATCTCTTGTGTATGTGCATTAAATAGGGTTTCTGTGTTGAGGCAAGAACATTAAGGATTCTTTTTCAGAACTTTGATATGTAAGGCTACTTACTTCTACTTTTTGTCCTTGTGATCACTGTTGTAAGTTGAAATATTTTTTAAAGCTTAAGAGTTTTTCATGTGGTTCTATCCAATTTTACTATGAACTTTTGATAAAGATTGTAATGCTATGTCTTATGACTTTGCTACAGAAGTTCTCTGTTCCTCCTGTTTTTTTCCGGATCATGATCCTTATGTGATCTAATAGTAACTTTTTCTTTCAAGGCACCCAAAAAATACAAATGTTGTGGAGAGCATGGTCAAAGCGCTTGCTCGAGTTGTTTCTAGCATACAGGTGGGTTTGTAAGGCAGGTCGCTTGTTATGTTTTCTGTAGTCTCGATTTGCTTGAGTTCTCGTAGTCGATATTTTAACTGTTTACCAGGAAAGATTTTTTAGAAGAAATTCAGTAACATGGCTTAATTCTGTAACATGACTTAATTCTCGAGTTGTTTTCCTTGAAAGTAGTTTCAGGAGACGAGTGAGGAAAGTCTAGCAGCTGTTGCTGGGATGTTTAGTAGCAAAGCTAAAGGTGATTAATTATTTTGTTGCTATTTGATTATTTCTTTCTTCTACGAACCTCAGAAATCAATAAATTCTATTTTATTCTAATGATGTAATTATAAATACTTTCCCACTTCTGTAGGGATTGAA